AGCTGCTGTATAGCAGTGGGCAGAAGGATACAGGACTGGCCTGGGCTATTTGTCTCTGGAGGAGAAGTGATGCACATAATCCAGTTCCAGGTCCAGTCCCAGACAAATGGAGCCTGGAGTTCAAGGCAGTGGAGAAGGTGCAGTTATTCTAGCTGTGCTGCCCAGCACTGGACCAGGGATGCCACCACATGGATGGATGGTCCACATTGCTCAGAGGTTGGCTTAAAGATGTTTCCACAGCATTGTACTTTACTATGCAGAACAAACTTAGCAACTTCAACTCAATGGTTTTGCTGGAATCAAACATAAGAAATTGCAAATTTTTTAATCTCACCTTGCTATTGGGGAGTACCAGGTCATGATCATGGACTTGTAGCTAACAATTTATATACAGTTTTATAAGAAAAAAGGGCATATAGATGCACAATTAAGGTGCCAGATGCATGAACAAGTTTTCTCACTTCATGCGAGTAATTGACATCCTGAGTAATATTCATGAAATAGAGAATTGAATCCCAGAATGAAAAAGCTTTAACACTTTGGACATCATCTTCCACTTGACTGATCTGCAGAAGCTAACTCTACGGTGCATTTCTGATCAAGATTATTGCACCCAAAATCTCTAACCAAGAGGCTTCATTTATATCCCAGTTTTTTTATTCTGCTGCTCTCTGCATCGCACCCGAGAGCAGCCTCAGGAGAGACAGATGTTTGTTCCACTTGCTTTACAGAGATGTCGTTTTAATGTTCTTTTCTGTGTCAGTCTCAAGTTGGCGCCTCTTGGCTCTTCTTCCTGACACAAGCCAGATGAGTAAAGAACCTGCCAGGACTCCAGCTACTGCAGCCACAATGACAGCCCAGTAGGGGACTGAAGGTTCAGTTTTCTCCAAGTTGAGATCTGAATTTCTGAATCCACTGTTTCTCAGTGTAGAAAAAAAGGGTTTCTCCTACAAAGGGAGAGCAAAGGTTTTAGTGACCACAGATCATTCAACAGGCAGCATTCAGACAATATGCCATCACCCCTTCACAGAGAGGAACTGTCAATCTTTAGACAGACTATCAGCTGTTTCTGCCTTCTGTCTATTTTAGCTCAGACTCTTTCCCACCCTACTGCCTGAAAGTTCCTAGAACAAAAAGAAAGGAGCCATCTCAGAGTGTGCTGGCATCATTTCCAAATTTGTTTGCTGCAGACAACTAAATGGAAATATGTAGACTCATTAAAACTGGCTTAAATGAAAGGCTTTCCACTGCAGTGAGGATAATTTTTTTTACATTAAATTTTAAGTAGATCTCCCTGTGTGTAACAAAACTGAAATATATTTTTAGCTATTTAAAGCCTTCACAAATATACTATTTTAAATAATTTTACCAATAAGAAGAGAAAAATAGAAGTGGCTAATGGAGAGTGTGGACATGTTGGCCTTTACTTACTGGGTTTGGACACTTGAGTTTTGATCTGTCATGGGTAAAGCTGTTGTAAGTCTGCTTTTCGCCAACTGGCTCCAACTGAAGAAGAGAAAAGCAATAGTAAACATAATATATTTTTTTCCTCCTCAGACTCTCCTGACTTGGGTGTTTACAACTTTTTATCCAATCTTTTGATGCTTGCAGCTATGAAGAAATGTGGTAGAAGGTGCATCACAGTTTCCAAACATTTTAACACTCATGAACTGAGGACACTGAGATTCTGATGTACTGACTGCACAAAAACTCCCTCAGGAAGCATGGAACATGAGAAGCCTTTCCTCCGTTTGCATTGAGTGGAGAAAATAACTCTGAATACCACATACTTTAAATATTCTGCTAAAACAGAGTGGTTCACTATACACCCAGTTCTCCCACGTACACATCTCAAATGACAGTATAAACTACAATGAAAAAAAACCCACAACACATGACAGATGTTAGTCATGTACTTAGTACTGAAAGAAAGATGCCTTGGTGTCACAGTGATGGAATTGACTTCAGAAATGATGTAGAGTTACAGAGACGGGACAAGACAGTGTCAACCTTTGCAGCCTTCACTCAGACAAGAAACTTCCTGGGAGTTTTAGCTGAGGCTAAGTTCACAAGATTGCAAGAAGTGAGTTAAATAGAGCTTTTTATACTATCAGTTGTCAGCTAAGTTGCAATAACTGACCATAGGCTCACCCCAAGTCCATTTCAAACTCAAAATATGTCTAGGCTAATGGCACAGCATTTGTGGTTGGCTAGATGTGCACATACCATCGGTTACCATAGTTGAGCTAACAAGTAGAGGCTTGCTCAGTCATGTTAACTGAAGTGTTTACAACTGTGTATGGACATGCTTGAAGCAATGACTTCAGGACTGGCCCACAGAGAACTGCGGAGTTGTCATCCAGCACTTCTGGGAATACAGTACAGAGGAGTGCTGTTGCTTCTGCTTTTGTCCATATGTGCATTTACTGTCCTCAAGTGATTAAAGTGTCAGCTGTATGTTGAAGAGAAACAATACCTCAACAAGCCCAACACAATGAAGAGAAAAAATCTGTTCATGAGATTCCAATATGGAAGCACTGGGAATACTTTCTCTCTCTAGTTCATTTTATATAATAAGAAAAAAAAAAGAAGAAAAAAAAGAAGTAGAGACTGAAAAATGAAGAGAGAGATATGAACTGTGGCAAAATGTGACTAGAGAAGGGAAGAAAGCTAACAAGTGAAGAGATGAGAAGCAAAAGAGAATGCCAAGTTTTACTGATTGTCACGGAGTCCTGGTGGACTCTTATACGAGTCCTAAATCACTTGGCCTGCCTGCCAGCTAACATTGGACTGAATTTGGTAGTTTTATTTCATCTTAAAGGGAACAGCTGAAATTATGATGTGGTTATTTGTAAGATGTGTGGCTCATATCCTGTAGCATTCTGTCTTCAGTATGACTGGTTATTTGTAGATAACTGTAATACTCCCTGTGCCAGGGCACTTGGTAAGGAGTCTGGCACAGAGCCCAGACAAAGGATAATAAGGTGCAAAATTTTGTAGCCAGCCATGCTTGCTTCATCTCTATGTGATCTGTTCCTCAGGAGCATTAGCTTCTGAGCTTTGAAGATGACAGTATCCCCATGTCTATGAGTGTACAGGGCAGCTTCTGGAAGAAACATACAGCTCTTCTAGAGCATGTGGCAAATATGAAGGCAGAACACAAGCTAAACACACTGTTCATGTGCTCTTTTCCTGGGCCAGGGGACCGATGAGGTGGATTTGGCACCAGTGGGGGCCCCTTAAGACTACAAAGTCCTCTGACTTCAGAGAGCAGGAGCATGCTTTGCTTTTCATGAAACAAAAAGGGCAAAGAACATCATGGTGAGGGAGAGGCTCCTTAAGCCATCCCCATCCCTGCATGCCCACGCAGTGGCCAGGCACAGGCTGGCCTTTTATGTGTACTGACAAGAATCCATGTCATTTGGCCATAAGCCTACAGCCTGCTGAGCTTTTCAGGGAACAGGGAAACAATACAGCCTTACAGTAAGCTTGCACAGCCTTGCCGTACATGGGCTGAGAGTGAAAAGCAGGGATGTGTTACAAGAACGAGATTTAAATAGTAAGCAGTGAAATCTGCAGTTGGCATAGACCGACAGATCTCTATGGAAGGGAATAGTTGCACTTCACATCAGTAAGAACCTGATCCCCATCACCCCAGTAGAAATCTTTGTGTCAGTATCCTTACATGCGTAGGAAATGAGTGACAGTCTGGACAGAATAAAACTCTGGTGGCATAGAAAAAGGACTGATGGTGATTCAGAAATGAGTAATGGCCAGTAGGAACACCACGTGGCAACAGAAACCCAATTTAAGGCTACCATATGTCCAGGTACCATCTCTTTTTCTTCTTGAAACCTGAAGCCACACTCAATTTGAATGTTTTCTACATTTGTCTGGGGGTTTTGGGCCACCATTAGCCCTGTTAGAGCTACTGCACATGGAAACCTAACAGACTGCTGTCAACTGGAGTCCTGGTCAGGGAAGCCTGACAGAAAACAGGCAGATTTGCTGTGCATGCACATATCAATTACTCAGAGCATGTGCATGCACTGTATGGCTACTGCTTTCTATAACCCTGGACCTACAGCTCATATGCTATACTGGGCAGCTGCACAGATTTCTGCCCTGCATTTCCCAGTCCCAGTTCATTTTGGAGTATTGTGTCAGTTTATCTTGCTCAAACTTTTTTAAACTGAAAATAAATTCTGTTCCATATATGATTGTGTCTTCTACAAACCAAGATAAAGGATTTCTGCTACCACAAAGTGTTTGGGTACTGCTGTTTATGAGACAAGAGGAGGAAATGTCACTTGGCATGAAAATGCCAGAGTCTTTCTTCCACCATGGGAAACATCACTGTGACCTTGGAGTTATCAAGTCCAGAATATGCCTCTTACACACTCTTCTAGCACTATTCAAAAGCTATCATTTCCCCCAAAATGACAGAAGGAATGTGACTGCAAGCAGAGGCATCATAGGTGTGATTTCAGCCCCCCATTAAATTTCAGTGAATCTACTAGAATTGCTTCAGATACTAGAGTGGGTGGTACAACATGTCCACACTATTAATGGCAGCAAAAATTCAATCACATGTATGTTTTCCTGATAAATCTAGCAGAATTCACTGAAGAAGGGCAAGCTCATTCAACAGACATTTTCAGGAAACCTACAGAACTGTTAAACTAAGTTGATTTTTTTCTTTAATGCAAGTTATTTACCAAATGAGAAGGGAATTTTCCATTACGTTAAGACTCTCACTTTGAACATTAAGATTTCTCATTTTGAACAAGCAAGAGACAGTGTTTTATGCAAAATGAATGTTTTGGATTGTGTTCCTAAGAAATGCAGGCTGAGAAGGGTCTCAGAGTTGAGCAGCCCCCCACTTGTTAGGATGTCAACTTTATTTCTTGCTTACTGTTTTGTTTCAGACACCTTTCTCATGATCTTTTGTAGGGCCTGCTACACAAATACATAGGGATCTAGATTATAACCTCTTACCATATTATTCCAGAGAGCCATGGCCATCTCAGCGTAGCCTCTTACACTGAAATGAAAGCAGTCTGCTGCAAAGAAACTCAGATCTGGCTTGCCATTCTGTGATAAAAGCAAAAATTTATTTCTCAGCACATTTCAACCTTTGAGATCTGACATATCTAATAATGCACTGTACTTGGCATACCCACTTCACAAATTTGGTACCTTCCTAAAGGCAATATGCTTCTATTTTGACACTGCAAATAGAACTAAGGTACTCCTAACTGTGGTCTGGTTACTGCATCTTGAGACCTTCCGTGTAATGCAGCTTGCTCAACTTTAAACAGCAATTTTCATAACAAACTTAAATTTGTCATTAAACCAACAGTCATAACTCTTATGTGGACTCTGCCCTTAACCCACACTCCACCTTGCACAGAACTGACAGAAAACTGGTTGCTTATTCTTGTTTGTTAAACTTCCACAACTCAGAATTACAACCTTTCAGGTGTTGAAATTTTGCTGAATTTCAGGCAGCATTAAAAGTTGTGGGCTTACCCAGTTGTGAGAAATGTCTATCTTAGGGAAAATTTGCCTCATCAATATCAGTATGGTAGACATTCTTTGGACTTGAAGGCTGCCAGAATGAAATGGGGGTGCTATGACAAAAGAATCAGTATTATGCAAAACTGGGTGGTTTTGATCAGGATTCATGCTGAATATTTGTATCCCTAAATATACAGCATGAATAATGCTAAGGCTGAAGAAAAGAGGGATAATCAGTGTTTGGCTTCAAAAGCTGCTTCCTGTTTCCAGGCTGGGATGAGACAGGCATGCAAGTGCCAGTCTCTGTGTGAAAGAAACCCGAATGAACTCCATAACCTAGACCAGAAGAAAACTGTCGTGAATGCCAACCAGGCCCCAAACAGGGCGGGGGGCAACGAACATGCAGTTTAGATGAAGCCAGAGGGTGCTTAGGTTTAATGTGTACACACTACAAATTATTCCTAAAGCCATTTTGATTTAGAAGCAGCACAGTCTTGCCTGTCTTCTCCTCTGTCACTCTTTTTGCAGATTCTATCCTGTGCTGCTAGACTGTCCAAAGAGAAAAAAAACACAGTCCTTATGGCATAGGTCTTACTGGCTTAGAGAAATCAAGATACTGGTCACTATATAATAGGAAAGAAAAACAGAACTTACACTATCCAGGGGCAACAAAGTGTTTCGGAAAAACGGCTGCATGACAACTGCAAAGTCCTCACGCTCTTCATACCGACCACTGTTGATCAGCTGTAAGGCTTCAGCCTGTATGGAATTTCATGGTTGTAAACAGAAAAGTTACTTACAATGTTCATCTAATATTTGGCAGCTGTCAAAAACATGCATATTACACTTCTTTCAATGTAGGAAGTCATAAATGATTAGTATAAATCCAGTTAAGTAGTATAAAGCAGTCCAGAGAACAGCTAAGAAAATAATTTGATTCATGATGAGATTTTCATGCGAAAAATGCACAGAAGCTAGGATAATCTGAAATGTAAACTTGCTTAATTTGAAAAAAAAAATGTGCATACCTTACAAAATCAGTGCTGCACAATCACAGTGAAATTCAAAATCACATAGAATTAAAAAAAGAGTAATTTTTAGAAGTGACAAATGAGTTCAGAAGGTCAACTTGAGCTGAAGCACACTTGATTTTTCAGAAAGGTATGCTTGAAGTAAAATAAAACTTAAGCATTGAAAAAATCACCTGCCACTTGAGAACTATGGCAATAGACATTCATACAGATAATAAAAACATCTCCTTGTTACTTGCCAGCTTATGGGTATAAATTCTAAGGCTCCTGGTCATATCTGAAAACATTCCTAACCTCACTTCCTTAGTTAAGAAAAACGTCCCCCTGGGTCAGTTTATAGAACTATTTTCCAAGATGAATTTTTTTGAGTGTTGTCAGATTCATTGAACAACAACCACTGCTAGAGCCAGAAGGGAGGGCTGGAGAACATAATGTGAACTGATACAGTGATTCCTGTATTCAAAGGATGGAATGATGGAAGAACCTTCTGCTCCAATGACCTTTGTTAAATTTGAGTGAATCTTATGCCTGAGGCTATGAAAAGTTACTCCTCAGACAGCAAGCTGACCCATAGTAAGCTATCTGTGCTCACACTTTCAGCCCATGGCAAAAGAAAGGAGTATCAGGTTGGTTTAGATAATTTTCTCTAGTAAGAGTTACCACAAAACAGCTGATGCAGGGTGATTTGTCACCCTTGCAGTGATGTTAATTCATGTGAGCTCTTAGTTGGATTCATAATGGACAAACACATATCAACAGAACAGCCATCATCAGTAATTCCTTTTCAGCTGTCAAAACAGCAACTGGAAACAGAACTGGTCTCAATCTGCCTCCAGTTCGGAACTGAGGTCAAATCATAAAGCAGTGTAGAAAGACTAGCACTGCTGCTAACTGGTTAGCTGGCTAGGGTTTTAGTTAGACTGTAGCCAAGCTGTTTCCTAGTCATCCCTCTCTGTCCTGCTGAGGATATGCATGAGAGGAAGGACAGTGAGGGAAGCAGTATAAAAGGACACAAGTGAAGATGACCAGTTAGAGAATCAAGGTATTACCTGAAAATCTCTGTTGACTCTCTTAATTTCTTGTAGTTCATCAGAATTTTCCTCAGGGTTTAAGAAACATGGGCAAACATTCCTTCAATGACAAAAATACTAGCATTAAAAGCCAACCTGGAATAGCCTATGCAATCATTCAGCAAAGTGTGTCTATTTCAAGGAGCTCAGGATAGGTGCTCAAAGCTCACATGTTGAAGGAGAGTCACCTCGTTAGCTTACAAATGGACAGATACTTCAGAAAAAAAATCCCTACTGACAGTTTTCAAAGTGAACACCTGTCACAGCTGGCAAGAGCTGCAGGATCCACAACTCTTGAGTCAGACCCAAGTGTATGCCACGCATTAGCAGGAAATCACACATGTCAGAATAAAAAAACCCCAACACCCTACACATAGGTTTAGAGCAGATTTTCAGAAATCTGGGGGTTTAAAGGTAGAAAAGACAAATTGTTCATGTAGTCTGCTGCCTTAGACCTCTGTTTTATTCTGTTACCCCTATATCAAGAGGTAATAACTTGTGCTTCACTGAAATGCATCCTCTAAGAACGTGCTTGGAATGAATATGAAGACATCAAGCAAGACAGTCAATTCATTATTTTCCCTTCTAGTGTGTTCCAATAGTTAATCACTTCTATTATTAAAAATCTGTGCCTAACTTCATTTGAATTCATTAGGCATCAGCTTCCAGCCACTGGTCTTTGTTATACCTTTCTCTGCTAGACTAAAAAGCTTTTTCATGTCCATGCTGACTCCTGTAAAGGCACTGCTGCTTTCTAAAACAAGTCCCTCAATCTTCTTTGAATTAGGATTTTGGTTTCCTCCATTAGGTGCAAAAACCTGTTCCTGGTTGTACAATCTGCTGTATGCAGCACTGAATACAAGGGATGCATCAGGGATGTCAGCCTGTGTTCCTGAGCAGTGAACGGCTGCGTGAAAAAGGCTTTGAAGTTCAGTAGGATGGCAATTATATGGTGACCTGTGCTGTGACATGCTGCCGTAGAGATGAGAAGACAGGCGACAACTCTGCTATCTACAGGCGTATATGCCTTCTAGCTGAAGCACTGGAAGAAATAATAGAAAGTTGATGGGAACTAGTATCTCGGGTAAAGGCTGCAATGAAGGTAGCTTGGAAAGCTTGGTGTGGATGTCCTGCTGTAGAAGCAATTTAGATTGATCCAAAAAAATAGCTCTTTAAAGGCAAAGACCTGTTTTGTTCACTTACTTTACTGTCAAAGCACACTCTGAAGAGCTTCCTGCAATCTGACGTAGTCCAGAAATCTCTAGTATCTCCACCATGTTGACAAAGACTCTTGGGAGCTGCAGAAATTATGATAACCAGACATACCAAATCACAGAACATGATACCACTACAAAGTGAGAAAGAAGTGCCATCCGTAGGTCAGGGAGTCAGCGCAAACTGGCATGTGCAAGGATGTATAAAGGCAGGGGGAGGGAGACATACAGTGGGTGTCAGCCAAAAAATTCCCAGCAGCTAGTACAAACTAACTGAAACGCTGCTTCACTCCCTGGGGCATTTCCATTTTTTCTAGGGCAAGTGAAACTTTGTCCAGTTGGTTTAGCCATCAAAACTGGCAGGAAGGTTGTGCTATGCTTGGTCCACAGCAAAAATACTGTGAAACACACAGTTTTCCTGAAACTGCAGCTTGCTTTCTCAGAGCATTATCTAATACCGTGGTTGAAATGCAGTGCTAAGGAGCAGTCTGACTCCAGCTATTTGGAAGATGACCTTGTACAAAACAGAATCACTGACAGTTTATCAGAGGTGAGAAAAACATTAGTGTGCTTGCGGGGATCATGCTTGCTAGGGTATCTTAAAAGCTTACCTCCTCATAGAAAATATCCAGAGTGTTCTGAAGGTGCTTTACATACTTTTGCACTGAATAGGTTTCCTGTGTAATAAAAAAAATAAATAAAACTTGGATCAGCTTTCTTTCAGGAACCAAGAAGTTTAACTATTTCACCTGAACAAAGGAATCCACACTCTCTAGTTGCAAGGCAGTCCACAAGAAGATATACCAAATCAATGCTCCTTTTTGCCTTTATTGGCAGATATATTTTCAGATCAAGAGGTTTATTGCTACAAGCACACAATGTTATATAGCACTTGTGTTTCCATGTCACTGATACATTCCCTTAATCTTTGTAGAAAATCCTGAGTATATAATAGTTCTTTGCAGAGTTTTTGCCTGATAAATGACTACATAAATCACATCTTTGGATTTCATGTTGTCTTTTATGGAACCCAGAACAGACTAGTTTGTCTTGCAAACAAAGAGATACCTTTTCTTTTTTTCTTCTTCTCTCTTTTTTTTTTTTTTTTTTTAAAAAAAGTGCCAATCTGAAGAAATTGATATGGAGGCAGTCAGGCTTCACAAAACCTATAGTCAAAAATGACTTTGTGACTGTAGTTATAGAGGGGTAGCTGTGGGGACAAAGGCTCCAGGCAGCAACCTTTAACGAGAAATGAACAAAACTGAGAGAACAATCCTCGGCCATTTCAATGAGCTGGGGTCCAGACCCGCAGTCTGTGCCACAGTAACCTTTCCAGAGGGGTAGATCACTGATAGCTAGATAAAAGACACCTTTTTTCACTATAAACTGATGTTATTTCTTTCAGTATCATTCTGAAGCAAGAATTAGGCATCCTCAGTAATCATTGAATGGAGGTCCTTCGAGAATAAAACTTCACTTGTGTGCCCATCACAACATGTCTAAAACACTATGCTGTCTTGATTGCTTTGTCCAGTTAAGATGGCAGAGCTCTTCACTTTATCCTGGGTGTTTTGTTCAATGTGGGGCAGGTTGCTGGTTCTTAAGTAATGCATTAGTCCAGAGCTACAGGGCTCCAATATTAAAAGCTGTGCACTTGTTTCTGATACAATACAGATGAAAGGAACAGGACCTCTAAGTGCTTTTTAAACAAAAAGGAACTTTGGCTCACTGAGAGGGAGAAAAGGTTACATTTCCAGGGCTGGTCACTTGCCAAGTGCCTGGGTGAGCATGCCTAATTCAGAGATACAAACCTTGTCCAAGCAGTACTGGCATAGGTCGTTGCCTCCAACAAGGACAGTGATCAGCTTCCAATCTTCCTTGAAGTTAATTTTCTAGTGGCACATAAAATAAACAGATTGCAGTACCCATTGCTTAGGCATGCAGAGGTAACATTCACAAATGGGGCTAAAGGGGGTACAGACAGCATGGCAGAACAGAGAAAGGAGGCACGCTGAGTTAAGTTGGCAAAAGAAAAGCATCTGTCCAGGGGGAAAACGTGAACTGTTTGCTAGTCTAGCTGCAATTCACCTTGGCATTTGTAACGAAATTCCCTTCAGCAGACAAGATCTGTCAGGGTAGCTGAGCACGAAAATGCGTCTGTGGCAGCAAGTGTCCCTAAATGAATGTTAGATTCGGGACAGGGATGGACAGGAGATTTGCCAGCCACGGCTGAACAACGCAGGCAGCGTGGGGATGAAGCAGTGTGGGAGTGGATGCTGGAGTGACTCATGGAGCTGTGGAACTGGAGCTGCTGGGGATCCCTGCCAGCTGGGCAAGTATTACCCCATGGCCAGGAGGGGCGAGGGGTGCCCCAGGGAACAGACATCTGGATTAAAATAGAAGAGTCCAGGAGGCTGGTGACTTCACTGAGCTCATATAAGGGCAGCTGCAGCATCCACATCACCACAAGCTAACAATAGGCGCTGCTGAGAGCTGGATCTCATCAAAACATTTTGTAACGTTTAGTACAAAGAAAGGAATCAAAGGCAACTATTTTTAGTGTGGTGCATTTACATAACAAACATCTGCGAAAGGATCCTACAAATAGAGGAAGGGCCTGGGAATCACCCACAGGTCTGAATTCTCCTCCTTAACCAGCACTTTGTTGGAAAGCCTTTTATGAAGGGGCAAACTGTGGCAGGGACTTCCCTCTTCCCCTTTTTTAAAGATGCATAAAAGGCAGCAAATACAAAGCTCTAGAGTCATGTACTATTTTATTGAAGAGCAGTGCCAGCTCCCTTCACTCTGCCAAACAATTGGTAATGCAGAGTAACTGACAGTGGGGCAAGCACTGCAGCATCCATCAAGAGTGCTGGCACAGAGAGACACATGCTTTGACAAATCCTGCTTATTCAGGACCTTCCTCTCCCATTCAGTCTAAGCCAAGGAGCACCAGGCACTCCCATTCCCTTCCAGGGTGCTCTCCCTGAACCAACAGCTCACACCCAGACAGTCATCTGCTCAAATCCAGCCAACACTTAGAGCAAGACAGTCTTAGTTTTCTCCCAGATTTCCTCCCCCCACCCCAAACTGCAGCAACAACCACTGAATTAGAAGCAGATCACCCTTTTGATGCTCTTTGTAGCTCTCAGTGGAGCTAGCACAGCAGGCTGGTCCACAATGCTACCATTTCCCTAAAAGCTCATGGTATGACAGAAATTCTCCCAACCCTAATGTTTCTGGCTACTGATTAATCACTTGCCTGTTTAGAACCAGAGTCAGAGGGCCTAATCTCCTGGGAAGACTTCAGTTGTCCACCCTTCCCAGTATTGCCATTTTCCAGAGTCAAGAGTGAATGATGGGATTCAGGTTGGTCACCAGGTGCCTGCTCCAGTGATTTTACACTCAGCCTTTATGACCTCTGCTTTGAATGCTGCTGCTCAACTAAGCAGTCCTATGATTTCCCCAGAGCCTTTAAATCTCTCTTCTTCCTCACTAGCATCCTTACAGCTCCTCGCCACATTGTACCCTACGTTAGTTAGTCTCTGCTTTGTGTGTTTGCACCTTACCTGCATGGATTTGTACATGTTAATTACCATCTCCTAAAGGCTAATCCCTGGCACACACATTCATCTTGGAAAGCACACCAAGAGACAAGGAGACTTGACTTTTCTTCCATCAGTAAAGGACTCTTCGCTACTCAAGCACCCAGTCAACTGAAGTCATCTCCCAGAGACCACAGAAGCATTGAGGGGTGGACCAAGTTTCACTTACCGAGCTGCTTCTCATTAGCTCCACCAATTCACGTGCTTGGGCTGACATATTACTGTAGAGAGAGAACATAAACATTTTAGATGAGTGCTCTGAAAGCACATCGTCTTCTTGCTCTCCGACGCCTCATTTGAGGGAATCTTACAATCAGCAGAAATGAGTACACAGAAAGTGATACCTCAAAAGCATGAGCATAGAAGGACCAAGACCAGCAGCAATTGCATAAGTGAATAATCTTCAGGGCTTCAGGTAGGATAGCTGCCAAGTGGCAGGCAACTGGAATGAATTCTTCCCATCTCACAGTTGGCTTAAGTGTGGGGTTTTTTTTGAGAAACCCACTAATGTCCAGATGTACAGAGACATTTAGTTGCATAACTCCCTTCAAAATCTAGTGGGGGAGTTTGGTGCTTACACAGAAGCTGGGCACCTAACCAACCTTCCTGATCTCACTTTAAATTCCTATATCTTGTCTTATTGCTGCAATATATTGCTTATACTGTGGAACTGCCAGCTTGGAGAGTTCAGCTCTGGGCAGGATGTAACGTCCGCAGAGGGAAGCACAAACCATGCTGAGGCACCAGCTGGAAACTTGAGCTCCTGATATTCTAGCATGAGACTGTTCTCTAATAAGCCCTGCCTCCCTCCAGCAGCTACACAAATCTGGCTACATTAGTTGTAATGTCAGAACCGTAGCAATCACCCTGAGTCCTTGGTCACGGCACCCACAGATATTTAGTAGCTACACAAGCTTTGCCTGAAACTCTTTTGCAGTAAATTTAATGACTGTTAAGAATGCCACAAAGTCTTGAAAACAAATTCAACAAGTATCCATAGAGCACGCACAGCCTATGCAAAACAAACTTTTACATGTTTTGGTTCTTAACAGACTAGTAGAGCTTTTCTTCAGAAGGAGAAAGGAATTAAATCCCACCTGCTCATTCTGTTCTTTTTCTTCGCACTGCAAACATGGATAGCTTTTAATGCCATTAGGGTAGCAGTGGGCTTCTATTTGTTAGTTTGAGGCACATTTCCCAGAAATCAAGGAATAAAGGAGAGATGGTCATTAATTTTTTCTCATTATAAACCTAGCCTAATAGTGAATCAGGGACCTGCATACTGAAGGCTGAGCAGGAAAAGGTACTAGTAAAATTAGAAGCATAAGTAAGATATTGGCTCAGAAATTCTGGGTAGAGGTTAAATAGAACAAAAAAGTTTCCCCTTGTCTCTGATTTAGAAAAAGTTACAAATAAATCCCCTAAATACTGAATTTAAATAAAGAACATCAGACCACAGAAATGTGCTCGGTACAAGTAGGTCACTAGTATTAACTCAACCTTAACATGCGGTTCAAAGATAATCTGCCAGTCCATCAGTTCTCACCCATTTGCCCTTTCTCGGTTGCAATTGTGCTTACCGTGCTGTGGCACCTCTCTCTGCAACATTGAACCCAGCTGTTTCCTTAGAGCTGCCAGTGGAGAAGCCAAAGAGGTTGGGATTGAATTTTTTCAAGATATCTTAAAAAAGAGAAAACACAGTCTTTAATCATCCACAGTACAACTGGTAGTGTGGCTTCCTGCAGAAGTACAAGCCAACTGAGTAGTGAGAAAACAGACCTGGGTTTTCCTCTCATTCACTGTGGCCTTACAGAAGCTATAGACACACCTGCCTTAGAGACTCCAGCTACTGTCCAAACTTGAGCACTGCGGCTGTTTCTCTCTGTGGCCTCAAGAAGCTAGTCTGGCAGCCCAGGAGACCCACAAGTCGCAGGCAACTCACCAGTCTTGAGTTTGAGTGCCAGAGTAAACATAGTTACTTTCCTTCATGTACCAGGAGCAGATGTTCCGAATATGTCCCTCTAGCTTCCACTCTTCCAGCAACCCATCAAGATAATAATATTTACTGCAGAGAAGTTAATTTTATTTACATTTGTAGATTTCACCAAAACCCTCATCAGGGAAGTGTAATGTCTGAAAACTGTTACTGTGTCTGTAGTTCTGTCTGAAGCTTTATAGAGTCTCATTTATAATGCATAAATGAAATGCACCTTCTACTTTTCTGTAAATACAGTGATGTATGTGGTACAAGCATATCAGATTTTATTACCAATGATGTCAGGTATTGTCAAACTGCGCCATGGTGTGGATCACATACAAATAGATGAACCATTGTGAATCAAATCCCCTCCAATTTATGGTCACACTGACCACTTAATGGTTTCTATGGCAACTTCAGGGACCGATTACACAGAACACTAAGACAAGAAACATAGTATTTTTAGATTTTTTTTTCAGTGCAATGTAGCAACTTAAAATCATCAGTACGAACCATAACTTTGTCAACAACCTGTTCTAGATGAACCACTAATTGTTTTATAAACCTTCATTTGCCCATAGCCATTAGAGTCAGTCACTGAAAGCACAAAATTAAATAAGGGAGGAGCAGGTCTGCCATGAACTTCTGTCACCTTCAGCACATTTACTCCTAATCATTTCTGTCAAAAGGACAATACCATCACATGCAGGTCCTGTGATGTGGAGGGGCTGAATCAACTTTACAGCTAGTCAGGTCAGTCTGGGTTTCAGCTGTGACTCACATGAACTGCTCATACCCACAGTATATGGGCATTCCCCACTGTTCACAAGGAAAGCATGACCATTTCCAGATGTTTCCTAGCATCCACTTAGACTACTTTCAGAGTAATACTAGCCTTCATTTTTCTCACACTGATTTTCCAGAATACTCACTGGGTAAAGTAGCCTGGGTCTCCAGGGTCCCATCACCTCCCATACTACAAAGGGAAAGAACAAAATCACCAAGTAGGGTTAATCCTGCAGCCATCTGTCTTATTGCCACCATATGTTGCTGTAGCAGCCCAGGAAGGAAGAAAGAAAAAGACAAAAGCAAACAACAACAACACCCCCCCCCCCCAAAAAAAAAAAAAAAAAAATCCCAAACAGGACTAAGGAGATAAACCACAAAAATTCAGGGAAAGTACTGAAAGGAGATTTCACATTAAATCAAGCAACACATCAGCTAAGATAAAAGTTATGCCTCTAGACTGGAAAGAGAGCGTACTGGAAGAGAGCACACTGTGTTTCATATAGACATGCTGGGTTGCCCATCATAGAAAGGCACATACTTCCTCCCTGAAGTTGCTCCCTGAAACTACATTTGCGTGCAGAAGAGAGACTGCGTTAAGTGTTCATTAGCCACTTATCTGTGATTCCGCAATGTTGATTATGAAAAAAGCCTCTGACTCTACCATTCAAAGCTTGTCTGTGCATAGTCAATATATTTCTATGCCACTTTTGCCAGGCCCTCCTTAAAGTAACTGTGCCTGCAGACACATATAATGGGGGAAGAAAGGGTAAAGAAAAGAACACATACATGCACACAGGTTTGTCAACCATACTTCTGCCCATATGAAGCAGGCAGTTTCCTTCCACTCTATCATGGATACCAAGATTCACACCCATACTGACATGTATTGTCCTTGTCCATTTTGCAATAAGATGTTTGGGACATCTTAATTGAATATGCATGCAGTGTTCTCACCATGTTCATGTCAATCCACACTCAGACTCTCTAGCATTAGACGCTGTGTTAGATAATCACAGCGACAGCAATATTTTGAATAAACTCCAGAGAGACTAGCAAGAGGCTAAAAGAAGCTACTCATATTAATAATCCAGTATTGTCAGACACACAGGACCATGCTTGTAGCAACCAGGTCTGGTTAAAAAAAAGAAAAAAAAGGAACAAAACACCCATGAAAACAAATACAAAAAACTCCCATAAGAATCACTCCCTTTCTCTTCCAGTCCTCACTCCTCCTATCCTCACAAAGCAGTACTTGCTCTCAGCATCCTACCCCTGCATTTACATATTCAAGTATGTAACTACACAATCAGGTGACCCACTCTTTTCTCTGTGTCTGTGGACAAAAATAGAGAAAGAGAAAATTGAGCATTTTCACCTCCAGGAAAGTCCCCTCCAGTCTGTTTGTAGGTCAGTTGCTTTGGCTCCTACTGCAGTCTGGAAAGGATGGAAAGAATAATTTATAAAATACTGGAAAAGTGCTATAAATTTAGGTAAGGGATATCATGATTTGAAAGTGCTGAAGTGTTTTGGTAACATTACTCTGCATCCAACCAATATCCCAGTATGACCTTATTCACCACAACACATTGGCCTCTGGGCAGTCCTTCATCTCCAGTGCTTCAAATTCACAGGCTTCTCCTCATACACAAAAGCAGCTCATCTAGATATAGACTGTGGAGCATCAGAGGAGATATAGTCCAGACAGAAGGGATCAGACTGTAAGGTCAAGGACATAAGGCTTTAGAACTACTACTCTGATACTATTATAGTAACCCAGTGGGACCCAGATGAACATCAACAGTTTTGTGTGTGGATTTTTTCTGAAAAATACTTTATCCTGGCATTTTCCTGAAGAAAGATGATTTGAGAGACTTAATCCAGGAAAAAACCCCAAAAGACACTGAATGAAAAATTCCCAGCCAGTTTTAGATGTAAATAAATCAGCAAAGGAGCTGCTTTTTAATCTGCCAAGAAAACAAATCTTCGGTGTAAAATTCACTTTTCGTTTGCAGGACCCAGTCTGCTAGTCTAACACACAGACTTGATGAGGTGTAGGCAGGATTATTTTTGCCAATACAGATAAGCATGTTGGCATATCTATGGCTTTCACTATGCACTGGTGCTAAGAAGTCGGACAGATGCATCGTAGCCGGTGACATGACTAAATTGTTCAGTGTTTTATTAATCTACAACTGCACCTAGACTGAGAACAGCCTTCCTGCAGTGTGAACTTTAATGTCTTTTAAAAATAAATAAAGCCATTAGAGCAAAGAAGTTTGTGACGAATTAGAATAGCTTGCAGGACTGGGACAGACCTCTAGCAAGGTGAGCACCCTGACTTGCATTCAGGACAACTGTGAAAATGGATTCTTCTGCAGCTTTATAGTTTCTTAGTGGTTTCACTTAATTTTGTATTCTTCAAAAACCCATGGTATCAATTCAGCCATAAACACTGACTGCATTCAGGGCTCTTGTGGGAAATACCAGGAGGAAAATCAATGCCTTAGTGGACCAAGACAGATCTTTGGTGCTGCAGTACTTCTGTGCCAGGGATGGTTAGGCAGTACAAAGCGTGCACTGCTGCTAGCTGTACTCCACTTTGTGTGCAGGAGTGTGTGTATGTGTACACACATGTGGAAAATACTCTGTCTTTTTTTCTTCCCCACCCCAGCAATAAATCCCTTAATAAAATCCCCAATCACACTTTGCTGTGGCAATGGCAGCTAATAGGAACTGCATGAATAATGGCAGTATGAAAAACTGCCTGCCTCAGCTCTTGAGACAGGGTCCTCAAACATTAGAGTCTGGCCCTTATGAGTAGGGCTCTCAGATATTTCATGTACTAAAAGAATTAAAATATAAAAGAGAAGAGATGTGTTAGTGCACATGTTTAGCACTAGATGTGGGGAAGGAAACCAAGGAATTTTATGTGTTATGGCAGTGGATAGGAGGGAGATTTGCAGTGTCATTACTGAGGTCTTCTAAGAAAAGCTCAAAGCTCAGTGGCAGGGGAGAAAGCCAGGATTACATCAGGTCAAGCAAAATCTGTTTCGGAGCTAATGAGGAGGTGAAGACAGGCACACCTGCCTGTAGATAAGCCTGATCATTTAAGGGCTTCAGTCCCTTCAACTCCCTCTGAACTCAACAGGAGCTGAAGCTGCTAGAATGAGCACCGGTTTAGATCAGGAGTTAAAATTCATGGGAACTGTTGACACGAATGTTTGCTTTCATCCCATGCCAGAACAATTCTGTAGTGCTGTGTAATTCTGGAACTTTTTCTCAGAAAACTTTGGTGCAGATCTGCAGTATTCCCTGCTACTCTTTTCTGGGCCCTTTCTTTTATGTGCCTACTCTTTTCAGTTTGCATTTCTTGGTACATGAAACACATCAGAGTTTTAACTGGAATATGCCTAAACCAGGAAGCAACATCTGAAAGCAAAATTTAGAAACACAAAAGTATCAGAATTTTCTCAAGTGAGAAGCACTTCGTTCTGAAATCAATTATTTCCATAGGAATTTTCATCAAGATCTCTCATTGCATGAAAAAAAGCCAATTGCTTGCTCTTGTTTTTTATGTCAGAAAAAAACTATTCCTAAGGCAGACATTTCACTTTCCAAAACCTCTTGAATAAACTGCATACAACAGAGAATGTGATCCCATTTCTGTTCTGGCCTGAATTATTCATTACAGGATTACACAGTTGCCGGTGTCACTCATATCCCTTCAGGCTATTTCTTTGCAAAGGGACAGAGGTAGATGAGTTTAGCTTTGCCAAGCCAAAGCAATTTTCTTTCTATCTGATGGTGCCTGGACATGACCACACCTAGATAGAAACTGACAATTGCTTTTCTCATTTTAAACATGGGAATACAGCAGTACTCACAGTTAGGGAATCTCCCAGTGCTCCTATGACTTTGATGTCAGCAGGTTGTAGAAAAAAAAAAAAAAAAAAAAAAAAAAGGAGGATTATTGATGACTAACACAAAATACTATTTAACAGAGTAAAGATGCAAGTCTTTTGTTCCAATCTGATGGTATTTTATAGACTTTTAGGGAGAACAAGCCTCAAGTACTGTGCGTCAACTAGGCAAAAGGATTAAACTTCTTGCCTTTGCTTGCAAATGTGTACTCAACCAGCATGGAAATAAATGAAATAAATGGAACTTAAAACAGCTTAGGGAAAAGATGAAAACAGATATGTTTAGGGATGCATACATTCAATCTCTTTTAATTGGTTTTCAGACTTGGGTCATAGATCAACACTTCCTATTAGGAATCTCCCCTTAAAGCCTCCCAACTACACACAGCACTCCTACTGCACTGCTTAACAGAGCAGACTCACCAGGTAGGTCAAACTTACCGAGCACCTAACCTACCTAGGCAATTTTAATCTGCCATGTTGCTGTATATGATAAATGTGATCACATTTATCCATAGAGAGCACACCTGCTATGATTCAGAACTTACTGTATATGTCAAGACAGACTTTCTTCCTTTGCTGTTAAATATCTGCTTTTATTATTTGCTTTCCATCTAGGATGTTCAATATCAAGATCTTATTGTTTTTAAAAACAAAAGGTGAAAAGTCTTTCCTATTTGTGATTTTAGCTTACAAGTTCTTTCTCACCTGATGTTGGGACATGACTGGATGGAGCCTGTTCAGAACATGACAGGTTACTGCCCCAATTCTGAAACGGCAAGTCACAAAATTATTTCACCTTCTGGTTAGAAGACAATATGAAATTCATATATGGTTTAATTATACAGTGAGGGGTAAAACCAAGTTAAGACATAGATCCCAGTTTGGTCCTTATCAAGCTCAACAGTCCTTTCCTCTTCTTTATGGAATACTGTCCAAACATTAATTAGTTTTCTAACCAAAGCATAAAACCTTTCCAAAGGCAAAACACTTAATCTAGAAATATTGTTTATGACAAAGTTCCATATGAAGGTTTATTTTTTCCCCCTCCTCTACAGCCTGGAGATTTTGTCCATGACCTGAAGATGGTGTCTCCAGGTTTGAAGTCCTACTCTGTCTCAAAAGACATCAGATGTAAAAACAAACAAAACAAAAACCAACAATAAAATCCTCTGCAAAGTTATAATATTATATTAATGTATTATGTTATATTATTATTTCCCATGTATCTTGCTAGAAACATATTATTTTCCCAGAATATTTCAAAAAGGGCTTGCTTTCACTGAATATGAAATTTGAAAAAATTATTGAAACATTTGAAGTTTCAGAGAGCTGTCAGCCTCTTATTAATTAGATTTTACTATACATTTGTAGGTGATATAATAGCTATTATGTTTATTCCACCAATTGAAGAAATTGAGTCAACCACACATAGCAGAACTTCTTAGTTCACCAGTAAAACCAGCTGATGAATGTGCCACCCACTCTTTTTGGCAGGGCGCAACAATATTAGCTAAGGCAGCAGCGACAGACAAATTGTAATTGTTGTAATAAGCAGCCCCTGCAATAGCAATGACATTTGCTTATGCTGATGTAAAAGCTGGCCCTGCTTGGAGTGGGAGGTTGGACTAGGGATGTCCTGAAGTCCCTTCAAACCCTGACTAGTCTATGATTGCATAATTCTACCATTCAGAGGAAAACTACATGGACGAGTGGTCTTCAGAAAGCATGGTTAGTGTTGAAAACTATCAAGACAGATTAAACTGTTCTTGTAAAAAATGGTGCAATAGGCTCTATCAGCCATCTAGTTAAAGGCTGGCTGCAGAGGCTAGAAAGGACAGCTGGGCTTATTTTTAGATCAGACAGGAAACTGTTCCTTTACTCTCTCTGCTGTTTCTTTCCTTTACCCCATCACTTCAAAAGCGGTTGCTGTTGGGATTCAGTGGAAGTGCAGGAATTGCCCATTAAAAGTACAACTCTAGCTCTGCAGATAAAAATCCCATTACAATATTGCAAACTACAGCTTGCTGAAACAATAACAGCTGCTGCTTTTTGTAATCCTCAAGGCACACAGGGAGTTTCATAATTTGGCTAGGCATGAGGACCCCCAGTATGCGAACTAGCTCAGCCCATTTTGACTGCCCTCTCCAACCACACTTAGTCTGAATGCTTACAGTCACTTGTCAAGAACAAATAACTGCCTCTTTCTCCAAGTCCTATACAAAGTTTGTTTCTACAGTTTGTTTAGTCTACCTAGTGGTAGTTGCTCAGTCATGGTAGAAAGTGAATCCTTAGGAAAACCGATTCCCATCACCTCTGTAGCTGGCTGCATAGCCAATATGTAAAGGTGACTGCCCTCTACAGGTTAACCTTACTTGAGCACATAGAAGTAGTGTCTCGAAGAGAATATATAAGCCCTCCTCAGATCATGTGGGGGCTCAATGTTCTAAGTTATCTTCTCCCTATTGTGAGGAACTTGCAATCTGAATTAATGATGCATCCCTGGTGATTTACTGTTGAGCAGTTTTGATACAATTGAACTAATTAAGAGAGTTCATTTTGATGGCTTTTAGGGAAAGAAGAGTTTAACATTTGTTTATGCAGGAAAAGATGCAATGCAAGATAGACTTCCCTTTCTGAAAACTGGTAATAGTCTATCTCACCTACAAATTCAGGATAATGTGTGGACAGCCACCAGATACAGCTTTGCAGAGTTTGTCTAAAATGCAGCAGAAATGCAACAATTACCTCTATTGGCTGGTTAGTGGGCTCCACAGGTGGGTGTGTGTAGTTGCTGTTCTTGTATGTTCCCAGGAATGGTTTGTTCTGGAGAAAGAGGAATACAAAAGTAAGAGAAAACAGGCAATAAACACACGGCACAGACCATAGCAAGTGATATCAAGATATCATATCACCAAGAAATTAATTGTCTAAGCTGCAAAATGGGGATCTGAATTTTGAAACCATACTTCAAAATTTTACAGAAGGAGCAAGATTTGTGCTTAGCACCTTATGGCAAAAATGACATATGCCAGATCTTAATCGCAGTTTAACATTTCCCTCTCCTAACTTTCCACAAATTATTTCCATTTTATTAGATGTTTAGTCTTTTTCAAAAGACACTGATGTAAAGTCTAGAGAAACCTGGGCAGATCTTCCTGCATCAGCAGAGAGGAGATGGAAAAATTGATTACTGAAAAGATCACTCTTCCCTCCAAGAGAGGTTGTATAAATTGAATGGTTATTTTTGTTCCCTACTAATGAAACATGCATTTGGGAAGACAAGCACATTGTATAGGCTGAAAAAATTTCACCGGGATGACCACTTATCTCAATTAAGAGCAATTCCAGTATCTGTATGAGGAGGTCTTACAAAGCATTAAAATCAGAAGGCATATTTAATTGATCAGAAGACCCACTGTTATTTGCAGGGTTTTATCCTTCTTCAAGTTGCCTCAATACAAGTAATTTTCCTTGGCTTGTTGGGCCCTTACAGTCTGGCACACCTGATATTTTCATAGAAATGACTACCTGAAGTAGGATTTAAAAACTGTAGTGAGAAACTGGGAATAAATAGAATTTGTGGGTGTCATTTTGAAATAATTTACTACTTCCTTTAGTAACACAGAAGGAGAAATCCCCTGGAAGCAGACTGTTTATTCCTTCATAGAACTGTTTCACAGTCTTCACCTCAAAAATTTCTGAGCAGGGAAAGATACTGGCACTTCTACCAATGACTTTTTCAAAGCACTGTGGGCTTACCATTTCTGAAAACAATGACCGTATATGCTTTGCAAGGGACACAGAACTTTTCTAAGCCTACTTCTCAAAAGCATCATCTTTGAATAGGAGTGGATGAAGGGAAGGAAGTTCAAAATCCACATTCTTTGGCACTGAAGAAGTTTCTAAGTTAATTTAAGTTTCCTGGAAAGAATACTGGGTAAAATGAAGTAGGATCAATTTCAGTGAATCTGAGGACTTTTGAAATACGTTGATTAATAACTCAGCAGATTGTCTTTTTCTGAAAGAATGGACACACAATATGGACAAAATCTTCCCCTATGACTTGAAGGACTGTCTCCAGAACTGAAAGTACAACTCAGGTACCTGGTCTGTTCAGTTCTTTGGCATCCTTGTTGAAACTGCTGGAGTCAGTTGCTGCTGACTGCAGCGGTCATGTTCACGTGCTGATACCTAGCAACTGTACTGCAAGTTCAGCAGTTTGGTTTATAACTGTAGAAGCAGCTTCCAAAGAATCTGAAGTATCCCTACTATGGATCAGACCAGGAAAACCAACTTGCCACTAATTTAAGAGATAACAGAAACTGGGGGTTTTCATAGACACTGTGGTGCCCAAATCCCATTGATTCTGATGGGAAAGTTAATGCAGCATATTCTCTTTGCTGCTTAAGCTGCCTCTGTACTTCACAAACATAACAAAGCACATCTGCTACAACTGAAAACACACAAATCACCATGTTATCAGTCAGTATTCATGGCACAGTAAAAGGCCAAGAGACACCAGAGCAGGTATATGAGAGCACCTGGTCATTCAGAGGTAAGCAGAGAACAAAAATTTTCATTAAACTTTTTTTTCAGACATACCAAACCCCTGCTCTCGGCAGCAAGCACAAGAGCATACAGCCAGCTGATACCCAGCTTCCACAACATGGGTAATATTTACCTGGGTTGGACAGTCGAGGACAATGTCAGCCATGAAATCAAATGAGTCAGCTTTCTGGTCTACAGGCTGTAACTAGAAAGATAGACAAAATCCCCTATTTTGTAACCATGTTGGCTCATTTTACATTTGTATTACAATTCTAATCCAAAGAAGTGAAATATACCTTTCAAATTTATATATAGCTGCCTGTATTTACAGATCTTGATTTACCCAAGGCTGAAATGCATCTACTTCTCAGAAGGAACATGGCAACTGCATAACAAAACAGCAACTCTAGAATGAAGCTTAAAATGGGAAGTTGAAAGCTACACTGGATCAGTTTAAACTCCTGGAGGATTTTGGCAGGCACATGAAGTACCTTGGAATTTTGCCAGAAGGCAAGGTCATAAACTCTCTTCTCTTGCATAAAAGACAAGACACTAAGAGTCCCTCAATTTTTATAGCTAAGCTGCATGATGGCATCTCCAACAAAAGGCTGTTTATGCATAAAAGATTAAACCAAATTTAATTAGAGGTACTGCTTGATGACTGCAAGCAATCATGTCAGCCATTAAGACATTACCCTAAAGTATACAGAGGTTACTATTCAGGATCTGAGATACCGCCTCTGACTGCATGGGTACTGCTACTGCACTGCAATGCTAAGTAAAATGATTGTGCTTAAGCAGCTTTTAATGACACATTTTTATTGAGCTTTACTTGTTTCCAAAGGTAGTAAAACTAAACTGAATTAAAGCCCCTTTATTTCCTAACAAGACATTCACAACACATGGATTTAGAACAAACTTCTAAGTAATCCATTTAAATTGATGTATGCAGTTACAATCCTTTATTTGGTAGTTTCCCACATCAGCTCATAGGAACATCATCCTCACTGAATACTGTCCTGCCTTTTGTGACAATTGGGTGAAGTAGACTTGAAGTTGGTCGGCTGAAATCACAAATAACTGTGATCATGCACTTACAGCACCCCTCTCCTCCCCACACGCTTTAAGGAGCAAGAGATTCTAGGCTGAGAGTGGTGCCAGAAGTTTGAGGGTATCTGCCTAGTAAAGAAGAAACACACACAAGGTCCTGCGTTATCCAGGCCTTCACTGAAATGTTTATTACAGAGATTATTTTATTAGTAGTCAGATCTAGGTAAAGACCATATTATATGCAGAGCCTGTCACCGTACCATAGCATTCCAGAGAGCCTTGGCAAGCTGGGAATGGCCTTTCTGGCTTGGATGGAAGCAGTCAGGTGAAAAGTAGGAGACATCTGGATGCCCATCCTACAAACAAAAGTGTAAAATACATCTGAGAGCAGAAGAATTCACACAGCTCCAACTTGGGGTTGCGGAGGCCAAATCAGACTGTAACAGGAGGTTCATGCTACTTGTTCTTGCTGCTCCAGTGTGGTAACTTCTATGATTACCTGGTGATACAAAGTGTACTTCAGCAGGTCCATGAGCCTCTAGAAATATTTAACTAGAGATGCTTACATGCATCCAAGGGTAGATCATAGAATGATTTGTGTTGGAAGAAACCTTAAAGATCATCTAGTTCCAACAGCACTGTCATGGTGAGGGACACCTTCCAGTAGATCAGGTTGTACACCAGTACAGTCTCCTTTCCAAGCAAATACAGGTACTGGAGCATCTGAAGGAAACGGAGTGAGGAAATCTTGGCTTTCATGTGAGTATTGAGATGAGTAAGAGTTTAGGTTGCAGATGACTGAAACAACATTTTCTTGGTTAGAGCAGTCCTTCCTCAAAACTTGAGCAGGTTTTGATTCAGTGTGTTTGGGCCAGCTTATTAGAGAACTACTACCAAAATCTGCATCTATATCTGATCTTTTGCCAAGTTTAGAGGCAGAATTTTCAGTTCAGGAACATCTGAATGTTGTGTGAGATAAGAAATAAAAACAGCATCCTGAGCTTTCTTAAAATCTGAACTAATGAATGTGAGGCTATAAAAAATTTCAGAAATATTTTGCTGCTTTTGGTTTTATTTCTGTGTTCCCTACCTCAGTACCAAAACCCCTAGTGATAACTTTTCATAGGAACCAACTTCAGAAACAAAACCCAAAACTAACCAAACAAACCCCCACACCCCAAATCAAAGCCTGTTTTTCCTGGGAAACTTTCAGCCAGTTTTCCAAATTTGTCTGTAGCAGCATCTTAACTTTTCAAACTTATCACTAGCTATTGCCACCATTTTCAGAATCACTCTAGTTCAATTACACCAGAGTAATCCCTGCTCAATATTTTGCCCCATTTTCTCTTAGTTCCAGGTGAGATAAGGAAGCGCAGATGCACGTGAAAATAAGGGGTTTGTTTCAGAGAAGGTTTGGGTTGTTTCCTAAATTTATAGTTTACTGAGACTTACTATTCAAGGTACTGAGATATAATTGCCAATAACAGGAAAAAAGGCTCACTATATAAAACTACTACTTCCATCAGATCATATGTAAACTTCTCTTTCTGTCAGACAGAGAAGAATGAGTTATGGGACATGAAGAGGAGGTGATGCTGTAGTCTCCAGGGAGCAATGTAAAGATGTTTTTTTAAGAACTGTAACTTAATATCTGTCTTTTATTAATCATGTTATATTTTCAGAAAGAAAATATTTATGTACCCCTGAGAAAATACACAAACCAACCTCTTAATTCAGGTTTTGATTAATTTTCCAAAACAGTAATTCATATGGGTAGCACAAGATGTAAAAGAAAGAACTACTAACTATATGAAGAAAACTGATGTACTATACAAAAAAGAATCAAGTTCTAATAAGAAGTTGAAACTATTTTGCATATAGTCTCTATGCGTTAGATACACACACATAATCCTCTGTATGCTGAAGTCTTTTTAGACCATACCTGACCAAAAGGAATTTTGAGATTCTGGAGGAAAGGCTGGATGACCACTGTGAAATTTTCATGGGTATCATATCTGCCAGACTGCATTAATCTCTGAATGCCAAGCTGCAAGAAATAAAAAAAATGACCACCAATAATCCATCAACATCTGTGCTTCATAACTAGTTGTTTCTTAACTGAAATAGCCGCAGATATTGGCAAAAGGTGAGCTTTTCAAGGTGGCTGAGAAGGCTGGAACACAATACTCAAACTGTCTGTGGGGGACAGGATTTTGGTGACTGAACTCCCACCTATCCAAAACAGCCTTGCTGTTTTCTAATAGCCAAAGAGAGAAAAATTTTTCTGAAGAGCTTTGCTGCTGGTTTTGGTCATATGGTGTTTTGGGTAGCATCAAATTACCTCCTGCTTTGCTCATACGGCCCATTGGGTAAAATATTGCTACGATATGTTGCTTCGTAATCAAGAGCTCACCTCAACTGAAAATAAAGTAACTGCACCACTCTTGATAAACGTACCTGGTAAGCTCTGGTGGCTTCCCTCACCATCGTTAAATTTGTTGAGTTTTCTTCTCCTGTGAGAACACAGCTACACAGATGACTGTGCAAGAAGTTAGAGGTGAAAACAGGAATAAAGAGAGTTAGGGATCTGAGAATGCAGAAGTCACCACTTGCCACCCAATGCCCTCATGACATGGGAGTAACAAGGAATTCTGTACAGTCGTGTTTCTGTGAAAATGTCTCATCGTCCTTGCTATTGTTCATCATTTCAACACTTAGTCTTATTTTCTGCCTCACAGGAATAATACTACTCTAAATAATTTTGGTTTCATCCCCAGGTATACCAAAGCGATGTACACTGTACTATGACGGTTTGTCCCATCCACTGGCCTTGAAAGGCCCCGCAGTCTGACAGAGGTGCATGCCAGTCCCTCTAGAACTAGAAAACAGATCTTTGAAATCTACCGGCTGCATTAGCTCTGAGCTGATACCTTTCCAATCAACAATTCCATGTGCATTCCCAAGACACGGAATTTGTCCCTGTCTGGGGGGTCAGAAAAGAATGCAAATTGCCCATTGCAATAAAGTCTCTGAAACAGGAGAAATCTGTCTACTCTGCAAATACTTCACATTTCCTTAAAAGACCTGAAAATCCAAATGCTTATGGACTTCAACACCACCTTGAGGAGCCCCGTAACAGTAACTTTAACCCAAGCTCAGTGAGGTGTACATTACGTACCACAGGAAACCTTACAGTTCTAGACATGGACTAAACACACTGGTCCTTTGACAAAACGCTTAGGTCAAAGCCAAGAGAAGGCAACATTATGAGGCAGAGTGATGTCAGCACTGCACGTGGTGTCCATAGGACTGTAGTGCTACCTTTGAGCATCAGTTCAAATGATGAGAGAAGCATGGAATAGAACATGCTGTTTCATCATGGACAGTAAATTCAGGTACAAAAGGAAGTCAAACAAGCCTTACTCTGCCATGTAAGTGGGGCACTGAACTTGAGTGTCCACAAACAACTGTCTCAGAGGAAGGAGGTCTATCACTTCAACCAGGCTCACCAGAGCCTTCGGAACCTGAAAGGTAAGTCAGGTTTTAGCTTAGAAGGAACAGGTTACACAGCCCACAGTGCATTTATTTTACCCCAGAGCCCAGCCATTTGACACACCTCCCCTCCCTCCATTGTTGGAAGGAAAAAAAAAAAAGGCAACAAAAGCCCCCACCAAACTCCTCCAACTCAGCTTTTGATTCTTTTCCAACACCACGTTCCAGTGTTACTGTAATTTCACACTGCATCTCCCTATTCTCAGGTAGACAAGACAAAAGGAAATGCTTTTGTAGAAGTCAATGGAATACGTTTTTTCCAGAATGGAAAAAAACCTCAACCAAAAATCAAACAAACAGAAGAGCTAGCATCAGTCAGTCATGTACCAGTACAAGCTAGAATGCAAGGACAATTTCACAGCACTTGCCTGCTTGTGCAGAATATCAAGAGTTTCTTGTACCCTTCTGATAAAATTCACAGCTGAGTAGTGATCCTGATAGAAACAGAAGAGAAGAGATTATTGCTAAATGCAGACACAAGACGCTTTGGTTGGGAGGCTGGAGAATCACATTAATTCACTTCCTTTTCTGCCACACAAAACTGTGATCTGTAGAATGTTTTTGCTTCTTTCTAGAGATCAGGGATATTAATCATATCAATTAATGTAAAATGAAGAAAGACTTGGTGAAATTTTGGATATAAAATAAACCTTGTTGAGTAGCAGTATATTTAACCCAAATCCACCGGATACTTCATGTAAAGATGCAGGAAGGAACCTCAACTGAATGCATGCTGAAGAGCATATACCAAGCAGCCATAGGCACACTCACAGCCAGCTGATAAGCTCTTGTAAAATTAGGTGAAATCTTTGCTAGCCAAGGTCATAACTATAAATAAAGCTATAAAACTTGGCAGCAACAGCAAAGATCCCTAGCGAGGCTCCTGCAGAAGCAGCAAATTTCTCAAGCATAAGGGGTTACAGGAAAATTGGAATGCTCACAAAAAGTCAGCATATTAAAGGCAAGTGAATAAGAGCTAACAGAGAAAAGTGGCCTATCCCTGCCACCTGCCTACTCAACTCCCATGATCTCCTTATGGCAGCCCTAAAGGCTTCTCCATAATCCAGAGAAGCAAAAATTCAAATGATACTGAGCACTGCATCAACTTCCCCCATACATACCTCACCTATTCCTAGCATCTTCTTGCCCTGTGAGTTATGGGGTGATGACTATTGTAGGATTGGACTAGTGGTAGTTCAAAGCAGTTTAATTCTTTTTTGGATGTCTAAAGAGGCTGTGCTAGCAGTAGAGCAGTTACCACATCAGAGGAGTGAAGCTTTTCTTCCCTTCCACTTCTTGCTCATGGTCAAAAGACAGTAGCAAAGGCAGTGGTTCTTACTCTGGAGTAAGACAGAGAGAATACAACCATTCTACTCTGTTGCTGGTAACTGTTTTTATATCATGGCACTGTCAGCAGCAACCACCATCAAAACATACAGCAGCACGTATCTCTGTGAAGGCTCTAAGGGTCCATGGATTTCCCTTGACATGTTCTTACACTGACATCACAGTCCTACTACAGTTTCAGTTAACCAGTTCTACTACTCACAGGGTCTTTGCAATAGTTGCACAGATCGTTGCTTCCAATATTCACCGTTATGAGCTTCCAGTCAGCACTGATGTCAATTCTCTGTGCAATAAAGAAGAAAATAATGAATCTGAATTTCTTTGATACTGTGATATGCACATAGTATTGCTGCAGGAATATCTATCATGTGATGCAACACCTGTTTCTTTTCATGCTGTAAGTTTAAAGGAATCCCAGACAACTTACAGGGTCAGTTTTCATTAGTCTCAGGAGATTTGTTGCTTGGGCTGGTAAGTGCCTGTGAAGAAGGACAACAAGTGAGTGAAAGAAACACCCTTATGGAGAGATCAACATTAACACTCTTGAGATATCTGACAACTTGATTTAAGGTATCTGAAGGGTTGAGTGAGGAGACAGTACAATCCTCATGTTTCCATGATCAAATTACAAGTTTATATCTTTGTGGAAAGTCAACATCAAGTCGAACTTGAATACTGACTTTAAAGTTCAGTAATTAGTCTGGAACTGTAAGTTTAGCTTCTATTACAGGACACTTAGCACCTAAAACAGCTGAAAAGCCAGACAGGCTACATGTTTGTAAGCAGATGGCCTGCTATCAATCTATTCTTTGTGGACTAAAACAACAAGGGAATTCCAAGTCCCAACAATTAACTGACCCCTTGAGTGATACACTACAACTCACTTCCCTACAAAGCTGAAGTGTTTTAAAGGTCACTGTGTACATCTCCCTCATTTCTATAGCCTGCACCCAGAGTTAATACTTAATTTTCAATTGTGTAAAACAGGTCTGTGCACAATACCTTTCCAGAGGAAAATCCAAGTAACTTTCAAAGTAACTCAGACAGGTTAAGACGACAGCTTTGCTGTTTTCCAATAGCCAAAGAGAGCACTCTCTTTCTCTTTTGTTTATATACACATACATATATAGATATATATGTGTGTGTATGTATATAAACTGCCATGAATTTGGAGTTACCTAGGCCGAACACTTCAAAGTTGTTTGACTGCCCTGACACGTTGATCCTCAAATATGCATAGAAAAAGAGCATGTGGTTGGAAAGCTTTGGCCTGCCAGGCAACTCTGTAGTTGTTAGAAACACTTCACTGACTGTCTATCATTTCTGGAAGCACATCAGCTGACATTAATAAGCATGACACTTGGTTTGTATGGCAACCAGAGCTTAGCTCTCCTTTGCAATGCTGTGTTTACTGTAGAAACAGGAGTTATCTCACCACCCTCCTCCAACTGAATGCTGATCTAACACTAACCTGAGTATTTACTGGGGAATGAGCACCATCATACATCTACTTGTAACATAGACGCTGCCTGCATCTGATAGTTCTGTTCACTGTTACCCTTGTTCAGTGTCATAACTTACTTATATGTCAAAGCTATCACAAGCCACAAGTGGTCACAATTTCCTTCTGTTCTTACTGTGGAAACCCCTAGGCTAGATCATTGACTTCAGTATTGATCCAGAGGAAAACACCACTTATTGAGCTGACAGTCCACCACACCTTCAATTTCTCATGCAGTCACTGAAGTGCTGATGCATCCTGCGCCTACACAGTCAGTAAAATCTAACAACATCTTGAATGAAGCAGTGCCAGCAATCACCCATTCACCCATTCACCCATTGTTGAACTGCAGTCTCCATCAAATTCAGATCTTGATCAACAGAAACAGTTTGCTAATGGGAAATACAGATATTCACAGTTCCTATCACCTGTTCTCTCAATCTCAAATTCTTAACCTCCCTTTTTCCACATGAAATCTGAGATCTCAGCCAGGCTCTGCTTCAGTGACATGCTTCGGATCTATCCTTAACTCCAGTATGTACATTAACACTTTGGCAATGAATGTCCATAGGCTTAGGAATGTTTTGGTGAATGGGACCCACATTGCTACACTGCCATCAAGTTCACTAAAGAGCTCTTTGAAGCAGCCACTAATTTCATTTTAAGAAACCCTTACATATGGTTTCCAAAAGCTGGTAAGGGTGCAGATCTATGCAATTTCAGAAAGGCCCCAGCACCTCTGGAAAGTGGTTTCCAGATTAGTACCCAAAAGTGAGGCAGGCCAGGTAACAATTCTGAAATACCAGCATTAGCTGATGGACTATTTTTGCCCTCTGAATCACAGGAATATGGGTATTTTTGGCAGATGAAGAACAAATGCTGGATTGTATCATCAGGGTCAAATACTAAGGCAGGAGAAACATTCCCTTATATTGCAATACATTTCTACACTTAAGTAGGATGCATTCATCTTCTCAGATGCATCAAGACCCACAATATGACAAAACAGAACTCTAAAAGAAGCATTTCAAAGTTCAGGGATATTGGTGTAGTAGTTTACAGGACTTCACTTTTGTGCACCTTCCTGCAGAGAGTTACAAAACAAGGAAATAACAGAAGACTAGCAGCAATCTGGGACAATTGTTGTCTGCATCTCCTTGCTGAAAATTTACAAAATATGTTTGCAGAACATGGATAGCTCCACGTCATCATGTTTATGCAGTCCAGCTGCTTGCATGGTAAGAGAGAAGACTAATTGATGTAGACAAAATAGACAATTTTTCATTAGACTAACATCCATCAACTCATTTCATACAGCTAACAAATAGCTATTTAATAGTAATGCCTTGGTTGCTACTGATACAAACTGCTTTAAGTCATATTGGTGACTTAAGAGGTTGTGTATCCCATTTCAAGTCCTTCTACCACTCCAAAAAGCCTGTTTAGGATGTAAATGATACAAAATACAAGACCTATCTCATTATTTTCTATAACAAGAAAAAGCTGAAGCTGATCTGGATATATGCCACATATAGATGTTAATAAATTCTCATGTATGGCTGAATCAGAACCATAGTCCTTGCATGTGTTTCACTGACATACACAGGTATGTTCAGTCATCACTAGGAAACAAAATCCCTTCTCTCAGGTATGGAGCGAGCTGTAGGATACATCAGGGCACCTAGCAGGTTACTTCTCTGAGGAAATCCAAGCACTTACTGAGGTTGTTAGTATGAGTCAGAAGTTACTCAAGGCCTACAGAAGGGCAATAAAAATACCTGCTAAATCCTAACGAACTTTGCTTAGATACAGCAAACACCTCAATTTCTAAACTTCACTTACAAGTAAGACCTCTTTAAAGAAGAGCTTCTCTTACTTCCTAACCAACCAAATTAAGGTCTGGGTAATATCAACTAACAATGTCAAATCCAGGCATGGTCTGTCAGAACCTGTGCCCAAACTATGACTGAATTCTAGCAGCCATCTGTTTTGTTAATTAAACAGCACTGATTCTTTTAATAAGAAGCCAGGGATTTCTAGGATAAGCAGAATAACAAAGCCCAACTCATGCAGCCTCCTAGGTGTGACTAAAAGCAAAGAGCCAAATTCAGATGCCTGCAAAACATTACAATGCTTATTATATTGGCAGAACTGGCTGCAACTGCATCAGGTCTGCAATGCACAGAACTCATATATGACCATCAGCAATTCTCCTTTCTTCAGATTCCAGACTGTGGCTAGTTTTTCCCCTTTCTCTTGACCACTTTTACTTGTTTATCCAGAAGCCTGAGGCCAGAATTATGGAAGATTTACTCTAGTTTTTCTCCTAGTATCTCTTTATCAGTTCACTACATGATCATTTTCTGAAAATATCCATGTTCTCAGGGATTTATTGACAGATAAATAGATAAATTAATAGATGTTGAAGAGGAAGGGTAGAAACCACGACCAAAGAAGTCTCTGGTAGTTTCTTGCTTGTGAATTTCATAACCAGGACTATTGGGTTCATTTGGAAGTTCAGCTATGAAATAAGTCCATACATTTAACATGCTTTGAACCAATTTTCAACTCTAACTAGACTGGTTTTGTTTGCTGTTCAGAGCAAGTTGTGACAGCACGTGAAACAGCCGAGAGAGAATTAGATGAAGCATCCATCACCTGCAAATGAAAAACAAAAAAGCTACATACTCAGCCTGTGCTCCAGGAACTGCCTGGTTAAGGAATGCATTCGAATCATTCTCACTCCCTGTGCCAGTCGAATAGCCCATGACCATAACATTGAACTCGCGAAAGATGTCTGAAAAAGAAAGATGGCAATGAAGGGAAAATGCCTCCATCTGCTCCCTACCTACAGGGATTAGCACTCACCAGTACTGCCACAGTTTTGCTCTCTGAGAGCGCAGCACAGCTGCTGCAGCCTCCAGTCAACTAGGTGCATCCACCATGCAGTGGCGAGAGGGCTCACCAGCTGGCAGCGACTCAGAGAGCAGCATGCTTGCTGTGCCCTCCACTACCACTGGCAGATAAGATGAACAGAACTGAGGACTACTGTGTGCAGTTATCTCTCATGTTGTAGTGGTGTTTTGCTGATTAAGGATACCAATTAAACCCAGACAGAGTGAAAAGAGTAGGCATATTTTACTAGGTGATAACCAATGTAACAGTGTACTACAGAAAGCATGCAGTAAGAAAAAGCAGAAGAGTGCACCTAAAGCAACAAACAGGAAAATACAGGGTAATGCATCAAATCATGACTACATGAGAGAGAGAAAATAGAGATAAATACATCACCACTTGCACACTTTACCATCACGCAGACCCGCAGTGGCTGGGGAGCCCCGGTTACAGCGAGAGTTTGGGGAGCCTGTCCCGGCAAGTGGGAAATCCTACATGGTGTAACCACCCGTAGGTGAGGCTTCCAAAGTCGCTGTGAGCGGGTCCAGCCTTATATACCAGAGATCGACAAGCCAGAATAGCTGGGACCTTTGTTTTGAGCAGAAAATTTCTGGTTTCATTCTCCTTTGGATTCCACCCAAAGCCTGGCCAGGGCTCAGGGGGGAAACCAAGGGAGTTTCTAACAAGGCTGATACTTGGGTTCTCAGCCTTGAACAAGGCTAAACAAGGGAAGCTGGATACATTCTCTCCTCACTATTGATTATATTTTGTCTAAGCTGCATCTTTCTCTAGCAAGTTTACATACTTTGTTAATGATTACATACTAAGTTTAGCAGCTTCGGCTTGGGGCCTGTTGTTCTGGCTTCAGTATTTCAATGATTCAGCACTTTTTACATCCGCATAAGTGGGTTGTTATAACTTAGTACAATACTTACTAGCACAATGTTATCAGTTATAAAATATACAGGATTCATCTATAGGTCAACTCTGGCTTGGGCCAGTTGTCCAAGGCTTAGCACTTCAAGTGGTTAAAGGCTCAAATAAAATCCTCAGTCATATGATGCTGACTCAGTGAAGTGAGTCAGAAAGGGGGCTTCAGCCCAGCAGAAGCTCACTTTCAGTACAGAATCTGGGTCGGCTTCATGACTGTGCAAAATCTCATGCTACTGACAAATATGAAGAAAGCCTCACATGCATGGTTCTAATGAAATCCCACCACATTCTCAATAACCTCTATAGAAGTTTCCAAAAGGAAGTTGACAGAGTAATTTGCATCTGAGAGTAAAAATGGCCACATCTTAAAATATGAAAGCTACCTTAATCTTGAAGACTGAATTTAGCCACATTTTATGATGGCTTTGTCAAATGTAATAGCATCCAGTGAATCAATTAATTGCTTATTCTAATTATATTCTTGTTAAACTTTGCTTATAATAACGGGCAACACACAGGAGGAGAGTTTACTAGCCCTCTTAAAATAGAAGTTTAATATTACAGCTGAACCAAACTGAAATTCGAGTGGCTTTGCATTAACAATAGACTGAGCTGTGACAAGTTGCATGTTTCAGTGAATAGGAAGTTGAAGTGATTCCCCTCAGGTTACATGTACGAGTAGTCAGCTTTATTTACCAAAGAGGCTTAGTCTATGCAAACACCTCTTCTTGGAAAAAGCTGTGATAGAATATTTATTAAAAGCAAATGTTAATTGCACCACAAGCATGGACATAGCAAGCTTATTTAGAAATTCAAATAACACTCAACAAGCAGTTGAGAAGGGAGACAGAAAAGATTGGAAGGGAATTTCTAACTGCTTCTCAGCTTCACTGATGAAGCCAAATTTTTATTCTTTACTCTAGGTTGTTGTTTCTTTGAAAGGCAGTTCTTGTTAATTACTCTAAACCAGCTTTGAGATAATTAAGAGCCCTCTGTAAACATATCAGGAATCTGCCCATCCCCTCTCAATTCTTGCCAATTAGATCAAGCAAAGAATTTACTTACTAGGTAGAGTTGTCACATTCTCTAATGACCCATCTCCTCCAATACTAAAATGAGAAAGAGAAATCCCAGTCACTCATCTCTTAGCTGGACACTAAGCAAAGCAAAAACTTACCACACATCATGAGAAAAAGAAAAGGGTGATTAATTTGGCAATTATCAATCTATCAGATTACATGGAGAGTATAGAATTGGAAATGCTATTGGGGAGAATGGCTGAGGTTTCAGTGGTAAAGATGTTTTTCAGACTGATTTAGTGATCTTGCAGCTATACAGTGGTATAGTCAATCATTATGAAACGGCAGAAAAATGCCTGAGACAGCTACATACTCAAATGATCAAGCTCTAAAGTACTGCAGATAAGAAGGCTGTCTTCGAGGCCAGTTCCAGCCTTGTTAAACCAGTCTAGGGCAGCACCAAACAGCCAGCCCCTGGGTGACAAGAGAGCTGTAGCAACAGCTCCTCATTCTCTTCTCTTGTTTCCTGCACAGGGGTACCTACTCTCCAGCTTTTCAGTTGGTGGGACACACTGAGGCCACACTCCAGCTTATGGAGGGACATTAGGACAGCACAGAACTACTTCAGTCAATGTCAACTGAGTTACATCATCACACCAAAAAATTATAGACTTTTGTGACTGTGTGCTGCATGTGGTAAAAGCTGTGTGGTTAAACAGTTTTCCATGGTGCTACAAGAAGTTCAGAAACTTTGAGAGGAAGTCCCAAAACCAACCAGTTCTGACTTGTTTGTTCCAGTGATTTTTCTCTGGTTTTGTAGATTTCTGACTTGCCATCCCACTATAAAAATACAAATTGTCACAAGCAGCCAAAGATGAAAGAATATGAAAAGGCAAAAGGCTAGCTTAAAATCCATTGCTGAAAACATTTTCTGTGAAGTCACCCTTATGAGAAATCCTGGATCTGATACATCTTCAAAAGAACTTCTAGCCCAAGAAGTAACTTTTTTTTCCCCAACTTTCTGACAGCTGAAAGCTCCGAAACATATGGAAGAGAATAATATTCTTTACAGGAGAGAATACACACCTCCTCATCACCTTGGCTGAAGGCTTACCTCCAAGACAGTCCCCGGTATTCAGTGTCCAAATCCAGGAGATTATCTGATGCAATTCCTGTACCAGCCTGGACATTATTTTTCATTAATCAAATGAAATTAAAGTACAATTACTAATACAATAGTCATTCATGCATAGTCATTTTATTTACTTTTGAATGCATCTCTTCAAAAGCTTTATAAGGCATCTGGCTCTTCCCCAACCTTCCTCCTGAAGAATGCATCAATACCTTTTGTAATTATTTACAAGCATCATATTATGACGCACAAAATATATGATGGAGTTATGGAACAAAGGCTTTCTTCTCATGGGTCTAGATGAGCTGCATAACTCATTTACAGTTGCATTACTCAAGAATGATGAGTATGTCTTGAACAAACACATAAAGCTTTCTGGCTAATGATAATAAATACTATATGAACTCAACAGAGAAAACAAATATACCTCAGAAATAAGCACCATAATACCTTTACACTGATTTGAAAAATATTCTGCTAAATAGACTTACAGTAGTACTACAACAAGGAGGAAAGCACTCTCTACACTTACCCTGAAGAAAGAGACAAGCTACTACATCCCTCCTAAACCACCAGCAGAATTCAGAAGCAGAGCGCCTGCCAGCTGTGATACTATAGTTTCATGCTAAATTTGGGTACAGAGTAGTACTTCAGTACAGCACAAGACCAGGCAGACTATTTGCTGCTACCTCAGATTAAACCATAATACTGCATTTTCTTCTATGTATAAACTTTACTGAATTAATAGAAAACTCGTGTTCAGAATAACTATGCACAGGCCAAATGCAGCTCTGAGACAGCAGTGCATCACTGCACTTTCTATGAAAGCAGATTTTATTCTCAGTTCCTACAGACTCTATTTAGAAGCAGAAACACCTGCAGGGTCCTAGATATTACAATATGGCAACCACAGCCATGTACTTTCATTTGTCAACATTGCAAGTTTGCATTCAAATGCTTCTATTTCAGTAGCCTTCTGTATGTAGGAGTTTTAGCAACATGCCTGCCAGGGAGTTGTAAAGGCTTCATGATTTGTACACACAATTACTTTGTTGTTAAGAATCAGATTCAGAGAAACCTATGTTCCAATTACGTCTTTCTGACCAGTGTTTCCTTTGAGCTGGCTAGAGAACTTCAGTCTGACCAGTATGAAAACATAAGGCAAAAAGACATAATAAGAATATAGGATGTCTGGATCTTGAGACATATTCCTTCTAGGCTACCAAGGATAATCATCGTCAGCAAGCACTACTTCTTGATAAAGAAATTAGCTATCAGTTAAAATGGGCACAATAAAAAGACTGAATATCTTTTGAAATGGAGAAAGTCAGAGGGCTCTCACCCCTGTACATCCTTATCTCATTAATGCTGAAATGAATAAAATGCTATTATCCAACATCCCTTAGTCACACTCTGTTCCTGAAAGAACTGAGGAAAAAGAACAGGCTCACCAGTTTGCTCCTATTCAGAAAAACTTTGAAAAAACCCACAGTAACCTAGGGCTTGTGCTACGTCCCATTAGTTTCAACAGCATCTGATCTCTTCTGTCTCCAATTCAGCAAACTATTTTAGTATCTCTTTAAAGGATTTGCCTGTGTTTTCGCCTGAGTTCAAAATCATGTGAATATATGTGTGGGGGGAACAGAGTGCTGGAGAACTGACACCTTCTTTCTTGTTCTAGTTGCTAGACCTATTATCATCTGTGAATGAATGGATCTTTGCTTCTAGGTACAACAGCTATTTCCCCTCCACAGGAGAAGGCACATGTTTGTAGTTTTACCAAGAGAACAGTAAAAACACTATCTCCTTACCGTCAAAGAATCCCCAAGGGCTGCTATAATTTTCACATCAGCTGGCTTTAGGGAATGCACTGAAAAAAAAAAAAAAAAGAAATGCAGTTTAGGAAATAGCTATTCTTTTTCACCACTGTATACATGAAACATGCCAATGCGCATTCTGATGCTCAGACATACTGGTTTTGCACTACCCAGGTGATAAAACAGGAGCTCTCTCCTGCTCATCTCATGTGGTTGTAGCAGTAGCATATGTACATTATTCGGCATCTCAGTGGTTAACATTGCTACTGAAAAGACAGAATAGCAAGGAGCAAGTAACAGTAAGTTGCAAACAATATCCAGTAATGAGATGAAGGTACAACTATGTGGTATTAGACAAAGCAGGAACAACATATTAAAGCTGTAAGAAGGCAGAGAAGGATTAAGATGACAATAGGAATTTATTTGAAAAACTGAATACTGCTATGTCCTAGACTAATATGCATGAAGCTGGATTTCCAGCTTCCTTCCCCAAGATTTAGGTGGTATCAATTATAGGCTATGTCAGCACACAAATTTGAATTTTATCACAAGATACTTTGAAGTTCTCCACTGGTAGTGAGTTAAGTGCAGCTACTTAGAATGTTACCTTGCGTGTCAGCATGGCATTTTATCTATTAAGCAGCTGCTGGAAAACATGACATCTTTTCTGAGCAGTACTTTTCAGAGTCCAGCAGACATTTTAGCAAAAATAAATGCTCATCTTGAAGGACAGTTGAAGGCAATACAGTCTCTTAACATAAAACGGGCAAGACTACCTGAAGTTGCAGGAGGGGAGGATGGAGACCTGTCCTCGCATAGCAGCTGGCTTCCATAACTCTAGATAGAATAAGAAAGCTGAATAGTGTTTGGCTAGCAAATACAGTCAGTAGTAACTAGAATGTTCCTAGTAGAGGCCGTGTGGATAAACCAGAGACTGTTTAGCATGTAATTAAGCAGACAGATCTTGGTTGCTCAATTCAATAGTCATTGTCAATATTGCATAGATTAGAGTAGCATCCTGTAGTGATAACCATGCCATCTAAGCATGTGTTCTTACAGGTGTCTCTGGATGCATTTTTGCTTAATTCAGGGAGTGCTTTCCTGCTTTCCATGGCTGAGGCCATGCACTCAGTCTCCCAAACCCCTTTGGCCAAAGACTGGTTTCACCTGTGGTACACAGCATGACTCATCTGATTACCATATAGGATGGAGGCAGCAGAGTAAGAGCAGGTTGGTGAGGTTGACACTTACTAGAGTTTGGTTAGGGTATGTGTAATTACTGTTCTTATATGTCCTCAGGAATGGTTCAGCCTACAAAACAAGGCAATCCAAGTCAATACAAAGCATCAGAATACATGGAGATTTCCATTCCCCAATCTTCAATTCTCAGATATCTGTAGATGATTAACAGCTTGATGGAAAAAGGAATACCCAGAATTAAAAAAGAAACATCACAAGAAAGAAATGACATTTTTAAAATCCATACAATAACAGGGTAATCTGGGGCAACATTTTTACACAGCCAGAATATACAGAAGACACTCAGGACCCTGCTGTGTGCAATTAACAAGCTTGTGGTCCCACTTCAAGGTGGTCCCAGTGACCTCTGCAGAGCTATGCTGACTGGCGCAATCATTGCTCTGCTTCCCCCACTGACACTCTATCATTCAGTGTAGATACTTGCTGATCTTGACTAAGTAGGCTAAACACACTTCCCTCATGTTTTGGCCAATCATGTGTGACATGTGACTTTCGAGGAAGCTTACTTCTAGGACAAGCTTGCCCTCCACCCCTTAACTGGGATTGTTTAGTCTGGAGAAGAGGAGGCTGAGGGGAGACCTCATTGCCCTCTACAGCTACCTGAAAGGAGGGTGCAGAGAGCTGGGGATGAGCCTCTTTAATCAAGTAATAAGCGACAGGACAAGAGGTAACGGCCTCAAGTTGTGCCAGGGAAGTTTTAGGCTAGATATTAGGAAGCATTTCTTTACAGAACAGGTTGTTAGGCGTTGGAATGGGCTGCCCAGGGAGGTGGTGGAGTCCCCATCTCTGGAGGTGTTTAAGAGTAGGGTAGACATAGCACTGAGGGATCTGGTGTAGTCAGGAACTGTCAATGTTAGGTAAATGGTTGGACTGAATGATCTTCAAGGTCTTTTCCAACCTAGACGATTCTGTGATTCCATCTCATGGGGGAGTGTTCATACTGCTAACTGTGGTGCAGTGGTACAAACTATGTGGGGAAGAGTCTGATCCCCCTCATGGTGACAGCACTCTAGCCACTTGGTAAAGGCTCACGTAGACTCCCAGCCACTCCTAGTACCTCCACATGAACACAGACACCCTTATAACTTACTTCACTTGGACATTTGAGAACAATCTCATCTTCTATTTGCTGATCATCTGTCTTCTCCCCTAAGGGTTCCAGCTGTAGGAAAAAGGGGGATGCATAGAAGAAATGTGAATGAGCATCAGAGAGTAATGGATAACACTGTGGTACCAGCCGCTCAAAGCCTCCTCTGCAGCACAGCAAGTCTACTGCAATGCCCTGCACCCATGCTTGTGGCTGCCTCCATGCACTGCTTCTTTGCATGCTGAAGAGCCTAATTCCCATACATCATGAACGTGGCCTGATGATCAATGTGACAAGCAGGCATCCTCTCGCTGAGAGAAGTCCCAACACCCCCAGCCTTAACATATCCTGAGATTTACTGGTTTGATATGACTGCTTTTGCAGTTCAGGTGACCTTTGTTCACACGATCACTCTTTTCCTTTGTAAACACAGTTAAGAGTTCAGAAGAGATAGGGCTAGCTACCTAGTAGCTCCCCGGGGTTTTTTTTTTGCAGCCAAGGGCCGGATGGAGAGGACAAGGACTGACTAATACAACCTTTAACAATCTTACCATGTTGTTCCACAAAGCACGTGCAGCCTGGGAATGAGCCTTCTGGCTGAAGTGGAAACAGTCTGGGGCAAAATATGAACTGTCTGGCAACCCCTCCTAGAGAACAAGACAGGTACTAATATGCAACAAGCTGTGCATTATTCTCTCTCTTCCAGCAAAATATCCCAGCTGACTTCAAACTGAAGTGCCTGCAAAGGCCTCCGAGGCTAAAAGAATTAAACTAGGCCAGAGAACACTAGTAACTCAAAACTAAGATGCCTTTTAAACCTTTTTAATATAGCATTTCCAAAGTAATAGGGAATACAGATCACTATGGGTACAGAATACCTGGGCATAGATACTGACTGCATTCCTTATTTTCCCAGAGATTCACTACAGTCTTTTGAAGTATGTGGGTTTTCATACTGAAAGTCCTTTAACAAAGTACTTGAAGGGACTTTGTGATGTATGGGAGATAAAGGGCATGTGCTCTCTGGTAAAGACTATGAACTAAATATCTACTGCATGGTTTTCTGATTGCAGTGGAGTGAACTCAGGGCCCCAGGTTGTGTCTTCAGGGTCTGTATTCCTGTTGCCCATTGCCTCCAAGTTATCCCATAAGCATTTTCTGCAATTTTGCATGTTATCACAAATGAATATAATAATTAAGGCAGAAAACTTCTGGTCACATTTATAGCCAAGATAATTTTGTGGAATTGCACTAGGATTTAATGTAGGGACTGTTTTTTGGTTGTTTTTACCTGTGTTTTTGGCATGTTCACATTCATTAGAAATGGCTGTATAACCACTGTGAAATCATCTGTAGTGTCATACCTTCCACTCTCCACTAACTGTCGGGTTCTCTCCTAAAAAGTCAAAGAAAGATGTTCCTTCTTTTACTTTCAGCTCCAGTCCCTCTGTCCATTTACATCTCACTCAGGGGTTCCCACTCACTAGTGCAGAAACCCAGGCGTGGCCATGGTTTCCATCTCACACCAGGCAGCCAACGCAGCTGTCTTGAGACATGCATCCCAGGCTTCTTTGCAGAGAGGCAGCCTGGGGATGGCTGCCTGACTGACATGGGCAGGCAACCTGCTCAGTAATTAGATTTTCTGTCAAAAAGATGTTCTTCCAGAACCACCGAAGCATTTTTGGGTTGGCTGACATCCCATGCCAGAAGTTTGTTCCTGAGTTATCATGTTCTTTGACTTAATCTAATCTCCAGCAAGATAAGAGATCAAAAAACTGCTGGCTCTCTTTACATACTCTACTTTGCTCTTTAAGAACTTTTCTTCTCATCTGTTTTGTTGTTTTAGTGAATCAGAGTGATAAAGATCTTGAGCCTACTCCCATCTCCCCCTTTTTTTTTTTTTTTTTTTAAATCACGTTAAAATGAGTGAAAACTGTCCCCCCCACCACCAAACAGTAACCCCTCTGTGGTCCCTTGATCAACAGGAAGATGTCATTCAATCTGTAACAAATGCCACATGCCTCACCTGATACCTTCTGTTAAAGTAGACCAATTTCTTAAACTCACTGGAATTGTCCTCAGGGTTTATGACACAAGGGCACAGGATCCTGTGGGAGGACAACATGGCACTGAGATCTGCTCCTCTTTGTTCCCCCTTGCTCCCAAGCTGACAAGCTGTAGGGTTAAAAGCTTCTCCAAGGGGGATTTATCTGAAAGCCTGCTCAATAGGACCATTAGCTCTCACCTCTGAGTTTCTGCACAGTCCTGATTCTTGAGCAGAAACACGCTTATTAGGGATAAATTCATGAACATAAAGTGAGGAAAAGGCTCCCTGCAAGCAAAAACCACACTGGCTGCCCACAGCAAGGTTTTGGCAGCAGGCATGACCTCTGAGAGGAGAGTCCAGGACTGCCTGTGCTGGCCACAGATGGCTCTAGCCAGCTTCAACAGACCAACCACAGGGCACAGCTGAGCCTGTCAGCCAAGATGGTGGTACCTCTGTGAAAACCTGTTTAAGAAAGGGCAGAAAACACCAGAGAGGGAGAAGAGGAGAGAACAGTGGGAATAAGGAGGAGGTGTTCCATGGCAGAGCAGGCACTCCCCTGAAGAGACCACAGCCGGTGGATGAGCCCATGCCAGAGCAGACACGTCTGAATGACTCATGCCAGAGCACAGGACAAGAGTAAGAATGAAGGAGTGGCAGAGACATACCACTACATTGAGACCCCAACTCCTGCATCACCCATGACTCACTGAAGTGACTAAGGGTACCCTGTGGCAGTAACAAGGAGGGAGGGAGAGGTGCTTGGAGTGAATTTGAGCCTGGGAATGAGGGAGGATAGGGTGTTCTAACTGTTTAAGTTTTTTGATTGTTAGTTTTCCAATACCTGAATCAGTAATTAAATAGTTATGCTAATGGACAATAAATTCAGTTAACTTCCCCAAGTCAAGTTGGCTTTGCCTGCAACAGTACTTGGTAAGTGATTTCCCTGTCTTTATTTTGATCCATGCATTTTCTTGTTCACATTCCTCTTGTTTTCTCTCCCATGGTGCTGGGGTGGGGTGAACAAGTGGCTGTGTGGGTGCTTGGCTGCCACCTGGGGCCAACCCACCAAAACCCATTCATAAGTACACCTGCACAATGTGGTTTGCTTCAGCAGAACTATGCAAGCATCTTTCAAGACAGAGTTCCAACAAATTCATTCTAATCAACCAAGTCAAAAATTGTAGGATGTTTCACATGGAGGATGGTAGAGCACCAAAAGAGACACCAAGACTGATGATGGAATCTCCACCTTTAGAGAGCCATACCAACCTGAGCCATTTTAAGTTTCTGTGAACTTATATTGGCCGCCTTTATCCCTCCCTGAAATTTTGATCCTTCTAGCACAAGAATTTTTTCTTCTGATGCTCCCTCTTCCTGGGCATGCCTCACTATTACTTGACAAATCCAAGTAAGAAAAACAACTCCTTTTAAAAATCCTGTCATATGATCACGGTAAAGCATTCCCGAGAGCGCTCTTTAGAGAAATAACCTCCTATAGAGATGCAGTCGATATGTATAAAGCTGACACAGATCCCCATCACCTCCATACTTGTCTTAATGGAGAGCAACTTACAAAACAAGATTTTACTTCTACGGTACATCTCTATGAAAAGCAAAAGAAACCTAAATTGTGTTTTAAAAAGTGTTTCAGCAACATAAGCAGGCAAAATTAGTGGAGACATTCTCATTTTAGGTTACTTGCTACAGATAAGCTTTCAAAATGAAAAGCTTCCTTCAGGTCCTTCTTCATTCAGTAGCATGGTATTTATTATCACACACAATGTCTACTTAGTACCCTGTAAACTTGGCTTTCTGCCAGACAGGCAAATGTTAAATTCAGCATGGCACCTGAAATGATGGGGAAAGGTTACAAGTATCTTAAGATAATCTAATCTTAAAGGCTCCACTAACTATCCTTGTCCAATGATTAGGGTCTTGAGATACACGTGTGCTCTAGCCAGTAACCTTTGTTAAAAAGAAAAAACACAACCGGTTATTGGAAGCACCAGCACTCTTGAGTTTTAAAGGTAATTTTCCACTGACAGCAGCCAGAGAGCCCTTAAATCAGAGCAAATGCATTGCATCTATGTTCCTCCTGCAAAACCACCTTTGATAGCTGCTGACATTCACAGGACAAGGTTATTCTGCCTGTCTGTCCAGAAAAGTAGAAATTTGCTTTTCTGAAACCAAGCAAGTCCTGCCAGGAGCAAGTCTTGGGGGACACGTTGGACCCTACCTGAGTCACCAGAAGCTCACTGAGGCACAAATCTGCCACCTCAGTGGCAGATTCACGCTGACCTGGAAGGATTGCTGAGCCACCGGGCAACGGGTAGTGCAATTAAGCACCCCAGACATCTACTTGAGAGACTAATTAACAATAAAACTAATAATCAGCAATGAGACTCCAGAGATCGGAAGCTACAGAAGAAAGAGCAAGAATTTTAAGACCGTAGAAAAGCAAATCTGTAAATAAAGCTAGTTTATAGTGATCAGCTAAGAAAAACCTGTGTCATAATCTCTTCTCTGTCTTTGCCCAGAGTGTACAGCTGAGCTCTGTCTGCTCTGGCTTGAACTCCCTTGCAGCAGAAGTGATGAATCATTAAAATGGCACCTTCACAAAAATCAGTAACAGCAGGGCTTACATACAGAGACTGTGACAGATAGACAGGTATTTCTAAATGCTGTGTTGAAATCAACATGTAGGTACATCTGCACACACAAAGGTGTTTGGTGGTCTCAAATACTAGAACATTTTCCCTTTAAGAAAAAAAGTTTCCCAAAAAGACCTTGCTGCTTTCTGTGAGCAACAGCGAGAGCTGTAACACAAATCATCTTCAAACCTCATAAGCAGCTTTGGGCAGGTATTGTTTTCTGATGCATGCAGCTCCCGGAGGCTTGCTATGGAAAGCACTGTCACTAGGTTCACAAACGCCCGTGGAACCTGCCAAGAGAATAAGCAAACCCATAGCCAACAACTGAGCAGAGTGCCATCTTTGCCCCTACACAGCCACAGCAGACCTCAGGTAGCAGCCTGCTGATTCGCACAGCTTGCATTATTTATAACAGAGGTGTTCAAAGTACTTTCTCAATAATTAATCCCCCACACATGCAATACTAAATTACAGCCCCTGCCTGAGCTGCTTAGTTCTATTTTAAATGCTGATGGCTGGTCACTTGAAAATGATTACTTCAAAAAGGTCCAAAACAAGTTGATACTGGTCTCAGTATGGCTCAGACACCTGCTAACTCTTCAAGTACTCTCATCATCCTCACCTAGAATATCAGAATCTCTCTCAAAGACCACAAAAATATACTTACTTGCAGTATAATGAACAAGCAAATAATTTTCTAGCCATTATACCATAAGTTTGTTCAAATCTGTTAATGATACTTTTTGATGTCATTTGTCCACAGCACATCAGCTAGAACTGAGCACATCCTTATTCCTCCGATAAAATACTTCTCCAGCCCTTTCTGCCTGTCACAAAGATTTTCCTGCAAACAAGCATCATACAGCAGTGCTCCGCAGATGGAAATTCTCAATCAATAATCAGTGACTGCTTTACAAACAGAACACGATCCCCACTCCCACATACTAGAAAAATTTGTTTTACCTCTCTGTGAAGTATGTCCAAGGCTATTTGCAGATTGTAGGTGTAGTTTTCAGGAGAATATTGTACCTGTTGAAGCAAGAGGATTTAATTTTATAATCAGTTTACTCAAGCAGGTACAACAGTGACTGTCTCACAAGAAAAGATCCAGCAGCCACTGGATACCAGTGAGAGAGCAAATTCAGGGGGCCTCATGAGACATTACATCCTCCTCCATCCCCAGGCTTGCTTGGGAGAGATAAAGTTTGTGTAAAAGTAAGTTTGTTTCTGCTGTACGGAATATTACCAACATGCCTCTCTCATGATCCTTGTCTACCACAAATAATAACTTGCAAAGGTTAGGCACTTACTTGAGAATGGAATCACTTTATATACTTGCCTCTCAGCAGCAAAATTTCCCTGTTCCATTTGAGTGGTTTAAACCCTTTAATTGTCTCAAGTAATCCGGCTTTTACTTCTTCACTTGTGGAACTATTCAACAGTCAAATAAACTGCCCTATGAGAAACACCTGTCTTTTCAGCCTTAATTCTCTTTAATTTCAAGCAAAAGTTGTAGGCCCCACTGGCCTACTCTACAGAGATAGACAGTTACGTTATTTATTTCCTAAGTCACAGCTCACTAAGAGCATTGCGGTTGGCACTATTTGTAGCTGTGCAACATAAAGGAAGTACCACTGTGATCTTTGGATGCAGATGCATTATCTCCTTACCACCCACAGTCCTGTGGCTGCCATTTTGTGTCTGGGTCAGAAGCAGAACGTAGGAATGGTTATTGTGCTCCTTGTTTTATAACCATCTTGCTGTGTTGCTTTGCTGTTTTTCCCAAGCTGAAACTAACCATGCAAAAGGAAAAGTATGTGCTCTGCTGCCTGTAAGTAAGACTCATCACTAAGTGAAAAATCTGCCCCAGCCTTTCACCTCCTCTATACTCACACATACCAAAGGCTATATACAGTATGTATATATATAATTATATACATATATAAAATATACTGTATTACATATAATTGCATCAGGATGAGCTGTGGGTAGAACCATTTCCATAGCACTGAGTTAAGACTTAGCATTGTGACTGTGCACAAGGCAGAGAAGAGCAAAACCCCTTGACCTTTTATCTACAGGTGATAAAGTGACTAGATACAGAAAGTCAGTTATCTGCAAAACAACATAGCCACCATTATGTAATTTACAGGTGTTCTAAAGTTGTAACTTCATTTATCATAACATCAAGTTGAACAACCTGAAGGTCTCAGTACAGTTACATTCCAGAGCTGCACAAATAAGCCCTACCTTATTTTGGTTTCACCCCCTGAGTTCTGCCCTCTCATTCACTGCAGTGCAGAGACACCCTAGGCCCAGGCTAGCCCAGTTCATGCTGCAGGCATCAGGGGACTTACTGGATTGTTGCAGAATTTGCATAGGTCATTTCCTCCTATGAAAAGTGTTATGAGCTTCCAGTCAGTCTGCAAATTTATTCTCTGCACATACAAGGAGTTGGAATGAAAGTTAGTAATTTAAATTAAAAAAAAAAAGAAAAAAAGAAAGGTGAGAGTAGCAGCAGACAACACACTAAGCACAAATTTAACATTTCTCATGTTACCGGGCTATAGTTCTCTAAGCATCAACAACAAAATTTAATTTGTAGTCATGACTGAAGATGTAGAAACTACTATGATCTAAGTAAGGTTTACAATATCTGTAGCACCATGCAAAATTATTTGCTTCAGAAAACTATTGCTCAGAATCCATTTTTCTTAGTAATATGCTTTTCTTAGTAATATCTTGTGTACACATTGAGTGACGACTCCTACAGTTCTAGGAATATACCTTTATTGCAAAAATGATGGTATATATTTTCCTGTGCCATAAATAATGCAGCTATCCTGCTGGAAAACCCTGGAGGGCAATATATTTTACTCTTGCTGTGAGACAAACTGCAAAGAATAGAGGAGCAATATTAACTCTATCTAGCAATACTGGTAAAAAATGATGGCACTTTTTGCTATGGAAGGATTTTGCAAAGGTATAGCTAATGCAACGTAATTATGCTACTGTAAACATACACCTTCTTAGCTTTGAGGAAAGGTTCAGTTATGCTTAGTACCATGTAGAGGATGTTGTACTCAATATCTTAATGCTTCAACTTCAGTGCAAAATACCACTAAGAAAAGCAGCAATAGTACATCAGCATCCAGTGGTTTAAAAACATGTATCTTCAAAGGCAGAAGGCAACATATCACAGCTAGTAAACACATTGGTCAGTAGTTTGGTCTCAAAATGTACTTAAAAGATGGGAAAATTTTCTTCCTGCACTGAAGTGTGTTTTAAAACAAGAGAAAAAAAAAAAAAAAAAAAAAAAAGGAGCTCTTAAATCAAAGATATATGACCTCTAATATGAACGTTCTTTCTAGTTAGAAAGTTTATTAATTGGATAACAGGTTTTTGTATTCATTTCTGTTGTGTTACGTTTCCAAGCCAATAAATACGACAGAGTAGTACTTAGGAGCCTCGAATGTTTTGAATGAAAACCATCCAACCGCTTCATTGTTAGTTGCTATCCCTTTTAATCTCATTTCATATACAGCCATCAGAGTGAAATCTTGTTTACGAGAAAGTGAACCAAAAAGGAAGGTACTGCAAATATTTTTGCCAATATGTATTCACCAGAGTATTTATACTAGACACACACACATAGTTATCTTGAAGGTTGTTTGGCCACTTTCCAAATGCACAATTGGAAAGCCAAAATAATATCATGTAACTTAGGGCACTGATTACATAGCACATTTGTCAAATTACAAATAGCAAACATTCAAAGCAGTAGTTGAGGTTAAAAATATGCAAGCAATCCTCAGCCTAATGTCTTTTACAGACCATTAATCAAATAATTCTTAACAACAAATGTGTAAGGCAAATATCAGCTGATGACTAAATGAAAGAAGGGAATAAACTGTTTTTAAAGAAAACAAGGACTTTCCTCACTTCACATGTTCAGTCCACATGATTTGCCACTTGTTGTGAGCAAGCTTTTCATCCTAGCATGTATCATTACTGCTGCAAAAACCATGTGCTTACAAGACAGTTAACAGTACCACAGCAAAATCCTAGCAGAGAAAAAGTTCTGTTATCTTACAGGGTGACGTAGGTTGGGAAGGGAAGCAATGGCACTGAATCTACCAGCCATTCGTGGTAAAAATGATAAGAAGATAAAAATTATCTGGGTTTCACAGTAACTATCACATGCTGGTAAAAATTAATTTAGGATAAAGCTATAGATTATTTTGTACTGACTCAGACTCTGCACTGGGGAATATTAGGCTGTGCACTGCTGTACCCATAAGCTTTAGTGTTCGACACCCACTGTTGGCATCTGCTGTTGGTCTGTTAGAAACTAATGATGTCAGGTAACTTCATTCTTAAGATATTAATGACATGTTAAACTCACGGTATCATTCTTCATGCGGTCCACTAGTCTTCTAACCTGTGCAGGAACATCCCTAAAAATAAAATCATAAAAGTAAAATAATATAAATAAAAAAGGAATCCTGCACAGACAGCAAGGCAAAGAGGAAAGCTGATGAATGGACATCCCTCACATAATGGCTAAATAAACCTAGGAAAGCCCAATTTTCATTGAACGAAAGGTATGATATCCAAAAAAGGCTATATTTTGAGACAGTAATGGCAAAAATGAGAAAACAATTAGCATCCAACAGGCATTTGACACTTTGCAAGTGCTGCATAGTTCTCCTTTTACATGCTATAGAGAAAGTACAGTGTGCTACCACAAAATAAATGGACTTTTCTCCTTCCTGACATCAGACAGATACTACTGATACACATATCACTGAAGCATCTGTGCTTGTATCTGTTATTACATGACCTCAAGCCACTGAGGCATGTCTATAAGAAGTGTTACCAAGAAAAAAAGATAGGATATGAATTTTACTGAAGACTGGGCATAGTGGTCTCTAGTTAATTCCCAGCTCTGCCACAGACTGACCATAAGCAATACACAATTTTCTCTCAGTTTCTCTACACTAACTCTTGGTCTTGCTGACAGGAGGGTTTGTATATACCTCCTATAAAATGGGGATATTCTTTCTCTGCCTCACAATAGGGATGCGAAGCTTTCTGAGAAGTGGTTGTAAAGCGCTTTGGGCTTCTTGGTTGAAAATACTAGAGAAAGCATCGCTTTTGTTTCGAAATTTATTTGACCCAGGTTAGAAACACTGCAAAGTCCCCATCACATTTCTTGACCTTCATCCTAGAGATGGGCTAAAGAAATATATTTCTGTTTGCTTATCAGCCTTATTGCACTCCTGACAAAGTCCAGGGTTTGGGCCATTTTTAGCTAGAACTGAGTTTTAAAGAAAAATCAACTTTCTATTAAAAGTTTTCCTCTTACTCTGAAAGATCTCCTGCAACGGCTTGGTTGAGTGCAGCATTATCTGTAGTTTCTTTTCCAGTGCCAATGGAATATCCTATCAGGGATGGGTTGAACTCACGAAGTATGTCTGCAGAAAAAGACAGCACCCTGAAATGTTGCTTACTGCAGCAGGTAACAAATGAGGTTATAAAGATTGGACCTTAGTAAAAGACTGTTAAAAAGTTTTAAGAGATACCTATCAAAAAATTAATCTTTAAGTATAATAAATGTGGGGATTCATTACCACACAATGATTTCCTTGCCTTCAAGATATCTGAATTTAATGAATTCAGATATCTCATGACCTAACGCAATCTCGGCTCACAACACCATTTTGCCTGGTAAGTGAGGGTGAGTAACCCTATGATCAGTCAGGAGACTCTCATGCCGTCATACTCTAACTGCAGATGAGTTGGAATCAAATCCTTTAGCCTGATCTCCCCAGATGTATTAACCCCAAAGACCCAAGATTCCCTTCTAGATCTTAGGTTACAAAGCAGCCTTACAAACACCCAAATCTAAAATGCCCTGACCTCTAAAGGCATATAAAATCTGATCTTGTAACATGATTCTGCTCCTGCCTAAAACAACTTTCCCATACAGTCAAAATAGTTTCTTTAGGCTATGATGTAAGATCATTGCTTCATCTGTCCCCAACACATTTTGGACAGAAATATAACTGAAACAACCAAGCCCCCAGGAATTACAAAATACAGTTAAGTCATGCACAGCAAATTACAGTCTGGTTGTTACGCAACTTTTACTCAGCACTGGACACTGAATACAAAGGGATTGGTTCTGTCATGTTACAATTTGTAAACCTTTCTTCATGTCTTCTTTTATAATAACAGCTGTGCCAATAAACAGCTCCAGATATTTATCAAGTATACGGAAAAAGTCACTTACTTGCTAGTGTCGTGACTGTGCTTATGTTTTCATTTCCTCCAACACTGTTAAAAAGAAAGAACAAGGAAAAAAAAAATGTTCCAAGATACGATGGACTTGGTAAGGCAGTGGACTAAGTAAGAGAGCTCCCCCTTATGGGGCTTCTATCCATGCATACAGCACATTCTCTGGTGGTTGTACTAAGTCAAAGACAGCCCTTCGTGTGCATACCAACGGGGTCACAAAATCAGAGACTCTGTCATAATCATAATAATCATATTAAAAGCCCTGTACACTAGATGTCCTTTCAGTTTTCTCATGTGTTTTGGCATATGTTCAAACCTAGCTGAAAGAAATGAGAATTTTTAAAAGCTGCCATCTTTGCTATTGTTGTTCCTATTAAAATATTTATTACTTCCATTTTCAGTTAACAAATCTTTTGTATCCATAACAACAAGTTTTAAAAGCATATATTTCAGAGTGATAAGTATATTCAATACCTTTCACCCCCCATTTCACTCAACTGGAAGAATACTACTAGGCTGGTAAAATTCACCATATGTCTGTGTGCTCTTTACTCCCCTTCATGCTGTAGAAAATGCTAGTATATTTTTTCCCAAAAAATGTCAGTAGATTATTACTAAAGATCAAAATATAAAAAGTTGGATTTAGAACACCTCTGTAGTATCCATTTAATTCTTACCCACTTGAGCTGCAGTGGCTCAGGTGGGTAGGAAATGATGAACAGAAAATCAGCCTGACAGGTTAGGTGTTAAATCATACAGTTGCAGAATAACAAGCGAACATGATTGCCTTTTTTCAGAGTGGCTTTTTGACCTGTCTAATAAAATGCTGCATATGTAAAAGTCTGTACTCATAATTCATAAACTGTTCTGCATGATGTAAGCAATACTGGGAAAGGGTCAAGGAAATCCTTCATACTGCGTATGAAACAGCAGCAGCAAAAAAGATCCCATTTTGACTTTTTGTAGATTGCTGATCTTAAAAGAGATAAATGGGTGACACGGGCGACAGAGGGGAAAAGCAGGCAGGATACAGAAATGGCAGGGCCAGAAATGCAGAACGCGCAAGTGGTGCGATGGCACCGGGATCTAGATGTCCCCTTAGCAATAGCTACAACTGTGAGAGGAGAAGAGACCATCTTAACAAGGACCCTGTTTCATCTGCATGTCCAGGCCTATTCCAGCTACTGTACATTGTGCTCTAGATAGCCACTACTTTGAGTATTTTATTTATCATGAGTAATAGCACAACCATGTGGCTCAAAGCAAAACAAAGTAAAATTCATTCTCCACAAGCCTCCATTTGCTATAAAAACAACTATACATATTAAAACCCAAGAAAATGGATTCCCTCCCACTGTGGGGAAAATTCCTGGGACTCACCTCCAAGAAACACCTCGGTATTGAGTCAGGACATCCAGAACATTATGGGGTTTGGATGATGCCCCATTACCTGCCTGGAAGTAGAAGAGGAGAGGAGATCACCTTCAGAAAATAAGAATTTCTACAGTAATTAGTTCTCTAAGTGATCTTAGAGAAAATAATTAGTGTATTAATGAAGCAAGCTACGTTGTCTTCCCCAAATATCACAGATCCTTGTTTTCAAGAGGATCAAGGGCTGAGGGTATTTTAACTCTGCTCCAGTGCGTTACCTTCTTCTATCAACTTCTTGATTAGATCAAGTGGGGAAAAATTGGTTGAGGATGTTCAGATATTCATATAATTCTAAATTTACATAAGGAATAAATAACATCGCAATGGTTCTGAATGAATAATTTATAGTGTTCCTCACATTAAAAAGTGGCACGGTGATTTTACATCTTCCCTCCCCCAGTTTCCTCAAGAAAGGAGACTACAAGGATTTAATGTTGTAATTAGCACAGAACACATAAGAAACATGAATTAGGATATAAGCAGTGAAGCAGTTGTCACTGATTGCAGAATCACAGCCAGTCTAGGGGTAACGAGTTTACATAGTTCCAGGAATAGTGTTAAAACTCTCAAGAAAAGTTACACTTGACATACCTGATGATCTATTGCAATTTTACTCAAATATTTAGTTAGTGTAAGTGGACATGGCTTTATAGGCCTTGGTATTATCATATATATATATATATATATACACATATATACACATACACACACACATACACACAATTAGCTGCAGAATTTTTTCTATTTATGCTGCTTACTATAATAACTTTGAAGGCCAATACCTCACAAATTGCCTAGAATCAGTAAAGAAAAGCAATCATTGTGAGACCACTCTAGCAGGCTGGTTTTCTTGCTGCCCGATCAAATCTTGCAGCTCTTCTCTGTGTAGCACTCCTGTGGATGTTAAATGGGAACTGTACACTCAGATTAGACTCATAATCTGATTGCCAGTCAGTCAAGGTGGAGTATGGAAAAGAATATGTGAAAAATGTGTATGGCTCAATAGGGTGTAACTGTATGTATTCTATTTCTAGGGTTAAAAATTCAGAAATGCTTTTTCATTACTTGGTTTAACAAGTAACTGGCTATCCAGTGATCTTTACTTACTGTGAGTGAATCTCCCAGGGCACCAATCACCTGAATATCTGCTGGTTTTAAATTATGAACTAATAAACAAAAAAATAAAGGTAGTGTAAGGGAGAGAGGATATAAAAAAATTGTGATGATTATCCAAGATTTTCCTTAGAATAAGCATAAAGCATTGCAAAGACAGTATTTTAATATTAATGACAGCATCATCTCAGAATGAGATACACAGAGACTTATCAAATCAGAAATTATTCTTGGTGCCATAGCTGGGCATTAGCTACAGCAACAAGTGAGGCAGTAAGATTTCAGTCTTGCATCTGTGCTTATTCAAATTCCTTTTAACTAGTGGAAGCAACTGAAAAGCAGACACAGCTCTAGTGCCAGCACAGGGTAGAAATCTGGGGACCATCACAGCTTCTGAGGGAAGACAAAACCCACCCGGGGGCAGAATTTTATGTGGCTTTTTGCACCCAAGACTGCATTGACAAGAGCCCCTACTCCATACATAATCAGTTTTCCCACTCCAGCAACTGAAGTACCCGACTACCTCCTGTCTTTTCCACTGTCACTTCTTTGTACATGGAAGGTGCAGTTGTATAAGCTTTCACCATCCTTGAGGGAAAACTTGCATCTTGTTATACAACTACTTAAGTTGTTCCAAAAAGAATCTTAAAAGCCACTGTCAACAGAGTGCACTGCTTCATATAAAAGCATACCTTCCTAACTAAACCCAGTTCCTGTTTTCCTTCTATCATCAAATGAAGTAGCTCTACAATACAATTGCATAGGACTGTACCTGAAACCGGAACTGTATCAGAGGGATCCCGGTCAAAGCAAGGAATATTTGTTCCATAACTCTTCTCCTGTAAAGACAGAGAGGGCAAGACTTTACATCAGACTCACTACACTCTGGTTGTGACAAACCATTTCTGTCTCAGAGCATTGGATTAATGAATTTCCTGTCTTCAGGCCATGCCTACAACTGCCCTTTGAAGGCAGACACAAGCTCAGACTGCTCAGAAGTCACATGGCCATATTAGTGCAGCACAGCTCTCGCCTACCAGTGGGGCCAGTTATTTCAGTTTCTGTGCCGTGCTGCATTCAGCTATACATTTTGTGCACCCATACTCTGAGCTAGGTGAGCTCACATCTTTTTGTGAGAAACTGAACATCCCTAGAATAATATCCCAGCAAGAAATCATATCTTTGTCAGCAGGCCATGAGCTTGACTTCTCCACATGCAAATCTCTATGTGTAGCCAGGGATTTGCCCTCTTGGCTCCTTGGGGCTGCAGCCTACTGACAGAAACATCCCCAGGGTCTATAGTGAAGGCTGACCATCTGTATACCAGAGCACACCATTGCACAAGACCCAAGGACATGTGCTTGCTCCAAATCTCTTTACAGAACTCCTTAAGTAGCCTAACTTGCCTAAGGAAAAGATACTTGTGTGGCTTGTCCCATTGCTCCATTTTGTTTTTTTAATTTAAGAAAACCCACATAACACAGTGTTGCTTCTTGCCTCCTACACCACAGCTACTACCAAAAATCAGAGGGGTAGGTACTTGCCCCATGCAGAGGTCTAAACACCCTGAGTAACTAACAAAACAGATGCCATTATATTAAAATAAGAGGAGAAATGTATATTACTATTCCAATGACGTACAGGCCATTTTGAGTGCAGATGTGGTCTAGACACTGTGTTCTGGGGCATGAAAATGAGCATTATCACCTCCCTCTGTAGCTGCTTGGGAACACCAAGTTCTGTTCAGAATCAGAATACCATGATTAAAAAAAAAAAAAAACCAACCAAAAAACAACCACGGCTGTTTATCTCTGCACATCTAATCTGCAACTATCTCACAAAAAAGAAAAATGAAAAATCCATTGTCCTTCAGTTTTACTATGGCGCAAATGAGATTAAATCAGACTCACACAGTGGTGTCGTACTGATCTGATCTAGTTTCTTCCATGGTAGGACTAAATGGTCCTATTTTCACTAGCCTCTTATCCCAGGGAAATTAACATTGTTATCCAGATGTTTTACAAAGGTTCTTAACAGTGAAGGCAAGACTTACTTTAGGCTGTCTGAACACACCTACCTTAAATCACACTCCATAAAATCCACCAAGGAGAAAATGTGCTATTAAGCATCTGACTATTTAGTCAAGCATGGACAACTTTGTATTTAGCTTTCCCGGTAGCACTGTTTAATTAGGCCGCAACACACTCTCACCCACCTGCCCCACTCCCTGAATACACTCTGTCTATATGATGCAAACAGTCCTACTATACCTGAGATGTTTCTTTGGTGTTTGATGTCTCCAGGGAAGATGAGTAGTTACTATTTCTATATGTGAACAAATATGGATTTTCCTGCAGAGTGAAGAGAGTATGTTTAACAATGCTCGTGGAAACAGAGACAGCTGATGTTAAAGACTTCTGGCTCGATTTTCCAAGAGAAGAAAATCTTTACAGTATTAATTTTGGGATGAATATTGCACTAGTGAAGTAAACCTGGTTAGACCTGAAAATTAAGCCCTAGTATGCTCTAGGCACAGCACCACCTCTTGCCTTAAACCTAACATCAAACAAAACACAGAATTCAATTTCTTTGATGCTTTAATTGCTGTTCAGTGAAGCCTTTGGATGCCAGTAATATTTTATCACTATCAAATTATTGAAGTCATAGCTTAAATGCAAAAACATTCAAGAACCTGTTCTTTGAACCTGAGATGCTCAGACCCTGAAAATACTACTGGGGTATTGACAGCTCTAGGGACTAAAATAGTTAAACCTGACAGCAGACAGAGTCAAATGACAGAAAAATTATATAAAATATATAGATTAATTTTTATTGCTGACACAGATTTTAATACAGATAATGAACCCTTGATAGCCACAATTAATAAATTCAGATTAGCTAGTTATATTTTGAATAAAAGAATATCTGATACAGTAAGATGATTTAACTAAATTGTGTCAAAAGTTCTTGTTTTCAGAGTTTCATCTTTAGAAAATAAAGAGTCTGTGTCAATGAACTTTAAGAATACTAAATTTTTAACAGTGCAATATATTGGGCAAGTACACATTCCCAAGAACTTAAGAAAACAACAACAGTATTTGAGAACTTGGAAATTCTGCAAAGAGTAAATAAAATCTCACAGTAATATGGAAACGCTTTTACCTGAGATGGACACTGGACCTGAAGCATTTTTGTGACACCATAAGGCTGCTTCTGTCCAACTGGCTCTATCTGGAAAGGGAGAGAACAGATAAATTGTATACATGCTGTGTGGGGAAGGGAGAGCAGCAGCAACTCAAAGGCTCTAGTGCCCGGAGTTTTCCATCAGGTCCATATATATATTTAAAAACTTGTTTTGCTTATGATAAATATTTATCTATGTATGACATACCACATGTATACCTACAAAAGCAAGGAACAAGGCCTCTCATATGATCAGACTGTCATCGCATCATCGTTAAAACAACCATCCACACATTAACTCTAGGAATGTCGACCCTGTGTTTTTCCCACAAGGCACTGATCTTATACCACAGCATTCTACTGCTTGCAATCGAGTTGCTATTTATCAGCTCAACAACAGTAACCGTAGACATGCTCTAGAAGCGCATAGCTTAAACCATCCTCATGATTAGTTTTCCCCCCTTTATGGTTATGAAGTTTAAACTTAACTGCAATTTGCAAGCCAGTTTTACTTCCCCGATGGTCTGGGTATGAGAAAGCAAAGGGTGGGTTGCCACAGCTCAGCTGCCAGGTAACAACTCCTTGCACAGCCTGTCCATCCTCCCAGGCCTCATCCACCACATTTTTTGTCTTCTCCCAGGCTGTGAAACTCTTGAGCAAGTCACACTTGGAAGTTCATGGTTTACAGTTTTTATATAAAAGTATAAAGAAACATAAAAGCTTTTGTGTGGGAGGAAAAGCAACTTTGAGTGCGTCGAAACTGAAGTAAAATTGGTGTTACTGAAGCTCCTTGGAAAATGCAGTTTTGACTCAGATTGTACACTGAAGACTTGGGTAAATCACATCACTTTACCTCAGAAGCGGAAAATACAAAATCTCTAATATAAACAGAAAACTAAAAATCTTTCATTTTGGTAATACATTCAGTTGCATTAACTCCTTCTGTCTTGCAAACTCAAATTTATGTAGTCCCTCTGCTGCAAATTCATTTTTCAGCAGTCAGAAATACACAAGGTCACACACCAATCCTCTGGTGGCTGTAGCCTGTGCAACTAAAAGCTTGCTTAATTTATCCCACCTTCCAGAACTGTTTCCTCATATACATTTTCATACATGTTAGACAACATCAAAAAGGTGCCCTCCAACTCCGCATACATTCTTTATAATTGCTTGATAATACTTCTATTTGTTGGCCACCTTCTAACAAGACAGAGAGTGGATTGTTGTTAATGAAAAAATCATGGAATGATTCAAAACCCAATACTGACAGCACAAAGTGGTAAATACCACAAAGAATAACTTCACCTGTTCAGGCACCTTGCTGGGTGCTAATTAAATTGCAATCACAACCAAAAGAGTTTGCCAGGGATTTAGATTCCTCAGCGAATGTCTGCTCAGCTTGCACCAGCAGCAGCAGCTGCCAGAAGCAGCAGACTACAAAAGAAACAGGATTGAAGGGTCTGGAAAACACAATAACAGGCTTGACGTCACTGATACATTCTAGACAGGAATGTTATATTCTATTTTGGTTGTTCCATCAATGAAAATAATGGGAAAATTTAGAGAAATAGAGGCTTACAGAGCTTATATTTTTTGAAAGAAGCATCTGAAGAAACAGAGTCACTGCTTTTTTTTGAGGAATAAAAGGAATGCCCTGAAACGTGCAAAAATAATGAAACTCAAAAGATACATTGGAAGCTGGTACTCTCCCATCCTCCTAGGGCAAAACAGTATCTATTTAATGACATTCTTAAAAGAAAATATTCTTCTTCCAGCACAGAATCATCCCACAGAACATGGGACAACAGTGGTATTTCTTGGCTAGGAATGCATTTCAAACAAGTATTAGGCACTTTTATGTTGTTGGGTGATGAGAACGAGTTTCGCCAGGAGGAAATTCATTCCAGACAGTTCAGGGACGCTGTTCTCCCAGTAAACACCGACAACTCCCATGCATCAGAACTGCAAGGTCCTGGTCAGGAAATTGGGCACCAAGTCAGCGCTGTGGTCAGTCAAAACCTCCCCTGAATTCCAGCATATCTGTCATGCAGGCTGGCTACGTGCTGGTCTGCTCCGGTACTGCAGCAGTCACTGTAAACACAGAAGAGAGGCACAGGCAGCCTCCTGCAGTGCTGTTCCCATTCAGGTTCTTGCCTGGTTTCAGTTTCTCTCACAGTTGCAGGGTAGGTTTATCTGTGGTCTTTTCTGTTATACAAGAGAATGCCAGAGAGCAAGAGCTTCTTGTCTAAGTTCTTTACACACGTGAAAGGAGCTTTGTCCCCAGGTATATTTTCAGAGGTAAAATTGTAGGCATTTGCCAAAATTAATCAATCAGTCTCTCTGTGGTAAATATCAAAGCTGTCCAAGTAAACAATCAACCTCCCTCAGCTCTTCCTAGCTACCCAATGTAATTTAGCTGACTGTTGTCTGATGTGCTCAGCATATGAACCACATTGCTCCTAGATAGCTAGAAATGTTTCGGTAAAATATCCAGCCATGCCTAGGACAAGTTCTTAGCACCTGCTAGCTCAGCTGCTTCTCAAACAGTCTGAAGTGCAGTCCTACTGCCAATTGCCACTAGATTGTCAAGGTTTTGCCCTTTGGCCAACAAGCAGGTAATCATTCCAAGAAGGAGGCTGGTACCAAACCTCAAAACAAGGTAAGGGCAACCTGGCAGGCAACAGTAGGAGAGAAACTCTCTGAATGCTGTTCTGTAGCACCACCTCATTCTGCTGTGTTTGCTGCTCCACAACTCATGATCTCGATTTCCTATCAGTTCCAAATACTGCATTGAGGGTTGGTTTGTTTCTTTTTTGAAGCAGGTAGCATAAACTATTAACTGGACTTCCCAGTGGAACCAGAGCGACCTTTACCAGGTGAGGACACCTGCCAGTGCTTTTTATGCTGAAAGCATCTTTATTACCTTCTGGTTTTACATCATGGGAGAATACCATCACAAGCCAACAAGGAACCTACCCAGAGAGGTGCCTTTCTGATGATTGCATCTATACTAAGAAAGTTCCACTAAATCAAAGAGGAGGCACAAAAACGGGAGGAAAGGAGTTAAGACGGGAATGCTACCATTCCTGTAGTCTCCCTTCAAACCAGTAGCAAGATACGGGTTTTGCCATGTTTTTCTCTCCTGCCAGATCACCTAGGCTGTCCCCTCACACTGAGGGAGAACTCTTAAATAAAGCAAACTTGGTATTTGCCTCCTTTATGACAATTCTCTGGTTCTGGTGGCTCCCCAGCACGCTCACTGCCTGAGTCTGGGTAACTGGCCCTAATGCAGCCATCCTAAAAAGTACCAACTTCATTATGCTTTTAGATTTTCACCTCTACTGTTTCCACAAAATGCTCTTAGCAGTTAAAGTGAGAAGAATAGAGTAATATACCAAAGAATGGGATGCTCAAGAAGAGAGACAAGGAGAACAAATCAAGTCAGTGCAGAAAAGGGTTAGGGACAGAAAAATGAAGCAGAGGAAAGAGGAAGGGTCTTCTGTTAGCAGAAGCTGCAAATAAAAAAAAAATCTAAAGGGACAAAAGGAATTTGTTGCAAGTGTAAGAATTTGAGAGGACAGGAAAGAGAAATCGATGCTGAGTTGACTGAGTATGTCTGCATGATTTATTAAACTTCAGGAGATAAGCCCTGTCCCTCTCCCCTTATACAGAGCCTGCATTTGGAGAAGGCAATATACCTGTTTCACACTGGGAATGACGCCATCACAACTACTTGCAAGGAATATTCAAGATGCCTACTATTGGATTCTGCAGAAATTGAAATCTAAGGAGCTGGACAGTAAGAGGCCATAGGAAAAAAAAAAAAAAAGCTACACTCTGGGAAAAAAAATGAAAGTGAAGCCCATTAGAAGCACATGAACTCTTCTAATTGCCAAATCTGATAAAAGAAAAGGATATTACTCAAAGCTGCAGATCAGTTTCCCACTGATAAGCCCTAGAAAACATGTTTGTTCAGGCTGATCTATTGCCACAGTTAGGTGTATCTCAGAATCCAACAGCTTTAGTTTCAGTTGGCCTCAAACAATTCCTTCTGGAAAGGCATAAAATGGGCTGGCAAACTGGTGGCACTGTGGTCCCTCTCCAATCAGAAGCATTAATTTTCTGCACTAGCTGAAAACATATTCAGCATTACATTTTGAAAATTTGGTGATGGAAATACCCACACTAAGCAGATGTAAAGGGCCATTTTTCACAGCAAACTGTATGTTCATACTTTGCGTGGCTTGCTCCCAACTAGCTTCAATATTTATAATGATTAGTATCTGAGGAGGATATGCCACTGCTTTCTAGTGTCTTACCGATCATGTTTAGGTGATGGTGATTGTGTGATCTTGATAAAGATCTCCAACACCGATGGGGACACTGAGACATGGGCTGTTAAAGTAACTCACTCAGCTTCTTTACAGAGAACTGCTAGAAACAGAGAGACTGTTCAGTTCATACTTCAGGAATCTGACTTTCAGTGTTTGCTTTGTTCATTTGTCTAATGACAGTAATTGCATAGTGGGACTAAGGCAAAACAATGATAAAGAAGCCAACGTGTATCTTATTATGGCATCTATTTTATGATTGAAGAACTGAGGTAGGAACTTTGACATCATGATAAGGAATGTCACAGATAACAACAGAGGAGATAACTGGATGCAGCTTGGTTGTTCCAAGGTTAGAGCTTCAGCAACTGATCAATTTTTAACTCTTTGGCTCCTACTAACTAAAGTCCTACTAACTTTAACTAAAAGATAACATCTTTTATTAAAATGACTGTATGGTTTTTCTAGCTATATCATCTGGTTGAATAAAAGCCTATTCCTGCAAATCCTGCTTCTTTAAATTATCAAGGCTACAACAGCATTACTACTGCCAAAATTAGCATAAAGGGAAACAAGAACATGCCAATCTGCTTGGATTTATTTTTAAACATGGTTAAAGGCAGTTGCATTAGACATTTCTTCCTTCGTGCTTAGGATAATTTGGACAGACACAGGAATAGTAGGTGCTCTCAAATGAAAATCTTATTAACACGTGGACTGCAAAACAAGCAAAAAAGTTTTTTTCTCTTTAATTGGCCATTGCAGATTCTTTCTAATTAAAAAAGCATGTGTATAAGAGGGTTATTAGTAAAAAAAGCAGAAAATTTTGAAAGTTGCTAAATCAGAAGGAATAGTAAAATCGACATCTTATCCAAAAACACTGGTATCAGGGCATATCCAAATATAATGCACTAAGCAGTAACATCCTACTTTGCTCTGGTGACTCCAAAACCACATGCCTGCTTTTTTGTCTCATTCATATTGAAAAGCAGCTCCCATTTCTTCACTTGCCCCCATCATCAATTTAAAAATGCAAACCCCTCCAGCTGTACATGCATCCACTCAGTCACACAAATGCTGCGTCAGCAGCTCAAGTCTGAAGAAGGAAACAGCCTCCTGCAGAATTGGTCATCAAGTTCAAGGTCAAGTGGGTCTTTTAGACACCCTCTTCCACCCATTAGAAGGCACAATTTGTTGGTCTTTCCTCAGCTGGGTAGGACATCAAACTCTTGAGGGAGTAACAGGAGCTCCTCAAGGCTGTCTATCAGCTTTTACTGTGAGCAACAGCAGTAGAAGGATGATGGTTAAGGAGGAGATAACATAATGAGGCTCACTAGTAAAGAGGGGGGATGAATACAGAACAGAGTAATCAGAAGGGTATAATCGCTATAATCTCAGGTTAGAATGAGCCTCATTTGTCACTTTGCCACATGTCACAGACCTAGCAAAAGGAGGGTCTGTCACAGCTCATTTACTCCCTGAGACTTCCCCAAGTGGCTACTTTGGAAACCTTTCTAAAAAGCTCTTGACATAAGTAGCAGCTACAGAACAGCAAGAGATTTGTCTTGGGTAGGTAGGACATTTAGCATTATTTGAGTGCAGTCTCTCTGCATGGTGGAGGATAGCAGTCATGGGATGTTTCTTTCCTATACTCTTCCTTCCCCCACCTTCTCACTACTCAAAGCCTGGTTAGTGTGGAGTTGTTAGCAGGCATCTGTACTTAGTCCAGTAAGCAACACTGTCTGTGGTACTCACCATGTTGTTCCAGAGGCCCACAGCCATGAAAGTATATTCTTCTTCCAGAGTTTCCACTTGTGTCTTTGATGTGGTAATGAAACCATCCCTGCCCTGAAAGAGAAAGCATTTCAACCCTGAGAAAACACTTAAAGAATATGGAAAGATAAGATATTTAGCCTCAAAAGGTCTTGATCTGTAAAATAATATTCATATCCAAAAGAATATCAATTTCTGGTACTCTCATTAAGCCACTTGTTGCTGATCTCAGTTACTGCTGGTGCGTCAAGACAGAACAGATGCTGTTCTTGTGATTGCTGTACCTACCACCGTAAGGGACTGCACATCAACAGGACAAGACGACCAGAGCAACAGCAAAGCATGATCACAATAATGACATACCAGAGATCAGGGAGACTCAGAGAGGTGATCACATGAATGATTTGGAATAAACACTTCCTCTAGCTAAAACTTACATGCATTTAAAAAGTGGAAGCATGCCGAATTTGTCTTAAGAGATCATGCTTATTTATTCATAAATAAGAACTGTTGGAAGAGTTTGGAAGATTATACATGTTGGCCTGCAGGTGTACCACAAATCAGAAAAAATAAAGAATCCACCTATGACATAAGATGGCATTTAAGGCAATAACAGAGCAATTTACTAAAAGAAAAAGCAATGCTGTGAAAGTTAAAAGTCTGCCATTTGCATATGGACGAGCCATCAACAAAACAAGCCTGACATAAGATGACCCAGCAGCAAAAGAAGATTTTTCAACATAGCAGACCCCAACCTTCCTGGAAGACAAATTTCTTCTCCCAGTTCAATTTGTTCTGATACTGAGCTGAGGGGAGCAATGGAATTCCCAGAAATTCAAGGAGCTATTTTGATGCCCAGGAACCAGACCATGACTCAGCACCACCTGTTTTACCAATAACCACCTAATGTTACATGTTGGATTTTGATACCTTGCTCTGAGTGAACCATTATCGAGGAAGTAATATTTTCCCTCTTCATTGCCAGGTCTAAGACAACCTTGACCTTTGAACTTCCCCTTAAAGATCACTTACAACAAAATCATGTCTGACATCCCAGGCAACCCTATCTACATACATTCTCCGCTGGCTATACCAAATACAAAATCTGGACAAAATTCATTCACAGGTTCCCAGACTGCATTAATCTCATTGCAAGGAGCTAAGTATACTTTCCAACAGTTTACAAGACCTTTATTATTCCCCCCCTGACCCATTTTTAAATGCTTCTTGTTATCCACTTTTTTTACTTTTGTTGCTAAACACACATGAGCATACTCAGGGATAAATATGCTGATGACTGCAAAGATATGGAAAAATTAGCAGCACTGACAATTGCCAGACGTTCATGACAGAGGTGCTGTGACTTGATTTCTCCAGGAACATTGCATTCAAATAACAGAGGGTCTCCGACTGATGCTGTGTGAAGCGAAAGCTCCACTCTCAGGACCCCGGTGTTTGTTCCTGAAGTGTGTTCTGCATATGTCCGACTACCCTTGTTTTCTAGCATTACACATAGCCTAGACAGGCGAGAGCCAGCTGAATATTGCACTCAATCTCAACAGATACCATCCAGAAAGAAGGAGCAACTCGAGTATACTCACTCGTCTGAGCAGCAGATTTCTTTCTTGGAGAGAAGGCTGAGGAACGACAGTGAAGTCATCCTTTTGATTAAACCTCTCAGACTCCATCAGTTTTTCCCAAGCATCCTGAATAGACAACCATTTAATCAGATGAGTATTATCAGGTAAAGAGTGTAATAATATATGTGCAATTCGTCAGGGTTTAAAGTGAACTAAGATTATTCCCATCCCTAATAAACCGCAATAATAAAATTCTGTAATCCAGAACAAGGACAGTAATTTAATGTTATCTTCTTACACAATAACTGTAAGCTCCTTGTAGTTATAAGAAAGCTACACTGATTTACTGTAATTTACTCTTTGAAAGAGCAGCAATCTTAAGGCAGCAATGAAAAGTCAGTGCTTATTGCCTCCCTGTCATTTTTAAAATGAATTCTAGCACAACTGTCTTTGCTTAAAAGAAAGTTTCCCTCTTTTAAGTCATGTGCCAGGTTACCGGACAAGATGGATCATTTCTCTATATAGTCATCAGAAACTTCAAGAGATACTAAGATCACCTGGGTATAGAGAGAGCTCATCTCCAATGTTCCCGATCTAAGAAATGGGGTCAGGATTGCTGTGGACATGTGGTAAAAAACCCTCTTACTCAACTGCCTCATTGCTATTCCTTCCTTAACTCCTCACTTCAGTCTAATCCAGAAAATGAATAGATGTAACTAGCAATGAGAGTCAAACAACACAGAAGATGCCATACCTGATAGGACCACCTCAATATATTATCATCTAATGTGGAGTGTTCACCAATACAATTGCACTGATTCCTGCCTGGATTGCTGCAGAAAAGAATTAAAAACATGAAAGACATTATCAACTTTTGACAAACAATACAAATAGCATGAATGAACTCTTTTAAGGCACTGACATATCTTGAAGACTAAATTGTTGCATGTATAGGGAAAGCTACATGGAACATCCTAATTTTTGATATAAACATAGAATGATATAGATGTCCACATCCAGAGCTTTGGATTGCTTCTTGATTTGGATTCAGATGACAGATATACCAGACTTGGATTAGCATGGGGTCTCACAAGCTAGCAGCATGCTCACGCTTAAAATAGCGGCTGCACTCATTTTCAAACATTTCCCCCTCTATAGCCATACAGGAGAATTAAACATACTCAGAATACTTTCACAGAAACTTTTGCCTTCGTATTTGGCAGTAAGACCTGCATCTAGAAATGCAGAAGGAAGCTTAATGCTGCCAAAAATTATATATACTAAAGGATGGCCAGACACTGTCAGGCAGCTAACCAATCCCAGCCAAATTTCTGACCTGCAAAGTGAGATGTGCCTACTGCATATTTCTGCAGCTAGTTGAAGAGCTCAGACCTCCCAAGGCTATAGACAGGAACAATAAAAGATACATTTAAGATTAGTCTGGTTTCAGCAAAGATACTCAGTGGAAAATGTCTGGATGAACAGCAATCTGAGAAATCTTTTTGTGGGATTTGCATATGTAAGCAGTAAGTACCTGTCATGATTAGACACTCTCTCCTTTTCACAGAACTCTAGCTAAACCTATAAAAATGGAAGTTGTCTGTTAAAGTGCTTTGGTCACTACAGGTCAGTGAAAGACATATGAACTCAGGACCAGAATCTTACCCAAGCCCAATAGAAGAACCTCATAAAAGAGATGAGGAGAGTTACATACCTAAAAATTGGGTTGACACACTACTTTTAGTGCAGACAACACTTCTAGTTATTAGAAACTAATAAAGGAAGAAACTTTAAATCCATATTATGTAACAAACATCAATGCCTAAAGTTAGGTACTGACATGGGACTGGGCGTGTCAGCCACTATTCTTTTAGACACTTTGAGATTTCATCGGTTGGTATGGGCTTATGTTTTTCTTTCAAAGCACAGTTCAAAATGAAGACTTGGTAGCCAAATGCTGGGGCCCTTATCTGGGAGACAATCCGGGCCTGAGGCTGAGATGAACCCAGGAGTTTATGAAACAGTAAAGTGCAAGGCTTGCAAGCTGGTGGAACTGTTCAGCCAGATAAACACAGGGACAAGAACATACTGACAAGAAAGCAAATTGCCTTAAATTGAAAAGGAAATATAACACTTCTTCAGAGGAAAAGAAAATAGATCTATTTAATTTTTTTTTTTAAGGTCTTCAATATATGGAAAGGCCCATTATTCCTAAATCAATCTTTTCCAAATCTTATTTACCTGTCTCGCATTTCCCCCCTTAGTGCCTGTGCAGGAAAAATAAGCTACAATGCTCTGTGCAGTTGCTTTTGACAAGGAAAGCTTCTCCTCTGCTTATACTGGTTGTTAAGCACGTGGTTACACAGCAGCCAGACCCCTTCCTTGACTAATGGAACATCTCCTGTGTTGTATACATGCAAAGCTTGTGAAACACTTCAGGATAACTATATTAGTACATATAGTGTCTTATGACACAGGGAAAAAAAATTACTGTGGAGTAAAATGGAGTGGAATCTCATCAGCTGTAAACTACTCCATTATAACTGTCCATGTGCACACTCCTACTCCATACTAAATTGGGACATAAGCTACTCACACTTTTGTTAGAAGGTACTGAGAAAGGGAGATAGATGAAAACATCTAAGCATGCAGTTACCATAAGGAACTGACAAGTCGGATGTTCTCCATCCTGCCATACCCTAAGACCAAGTAGTAGCTTTCACATAGCCTATTAATGTGCTTTAAGTCTAGTTATTCCTTTTGTGACCATTGATACCTAGAAACTTAAACGTATGAAGAGCCTTCAGAGTTTTTGACTCAAGAGTTACAGAACAGAAGTACCACTGACTAAAAAGCTGAGGATAGGTAGATTGTGCAGTCTTGTGACTATAATCACAGTACTGGGTCTGGCTGGGATGGAGTTAATTTTCTTCATAGCAGCCCATATGGTGCTGTGTTTTGGATTTGTGGCTAAAACTGTTGATAACACACCAATGCTTTGGCTGTTGCTGAACAGTGCTTGTACAGCGTCAAGGCTTTCTCTTTTTCCCCCACTCTGGCCCAATATTTAAACGTATGCTATCCAACTTGGCAGCATTAAAAGCACTTACTCCTGGTAAAAATATGCCTTGCAGAGAGAGTTTATCAGAAACAAAATGGAGACCTAAAATATTTGTCATGCTTTTGTATTAAGGGCAGAAAAAACTGTTCAGAAGGCTCTACCTCAGTTATAAAGTCAATATGTATACATAGCTATGTGTCTGAACACTAGCAGGAGACAGTGTCCATCATTTAAAGAAACCTCTGTTACCTGACATTATTGTAATCTTGGCATGCAAGAGAGAAAATTGTGAGTTCAGTGGAATCCACCAGATTTACAAAGGCCTTGGGAACCTACAGTAACAAAGCAAAAATTAATCATGTTATATTTGCAATTAAAGATCAGCAAGTAGTGATAACAGTAAGTTATGTCTACAACTTCACATGTGTTTCCTCTGGCCTGGGATTCTGCCTGCATAAAATCAATAATTAAGTCTTTGCCAGTTCTGCTCTGAACTCTATTCCTATGCCTGCCATCTAGAATAATGTTGAACATCATTCATGAAGTACTTGTGACCATGACTTCTTGACTGAAGCCCAGCAATTCATTTTACATAACCAAAGTGGCCATCAGCCAACTGAATTGAACTCAAATGAACTAGGAACTGCCGTTTTTGTGGCAACGTACCAATGCAAAGCTGGGGATGAAATGTCCTGTATAACAGCACATGCACTCCTGCATCCCGTCTCACCTCTCCCCCAGGCAGAAAGCAGATTTCCATTTACATAATGATATTTCACTTTTACAAGTGCACATAAACAGATTCTGTAAATAATAGTGGAGAGACTCTGAAGAGAATGTGTGGGTGGAACTTCACCCATGCACAACATTTGTTGAAGTCAGTTTGAGAAAAACAAGTGGTTATGGCCTGATGCAATCAAATATTAGCAGGTTTAGAATATTCTCTAGCTCTTCAATCCAGCAAAACAAAATTCTTGGAAGATGCTACTGAAATACTTCAGATAAACAGTTAATAGTCTGTTTTAGCAGTGATATATCCTTGTCCAGAAACCATCCTAGGTAAGTGGATAATTCTTAGCTCAGCCAGCTAGAAAACCTTTAGAAATGCTGAGATCTTAAAATAAACACATAATAGGAAAAAAAGATTAATGATACATATTTTTAATGGGTGTTTTTTCTGGTCTGTAACAGTCATCACCAGGTAGTTAGAAGCCTGCATGCTGCTTAGGTAGCTCCACACATCCAGGAATTAGATATCAGTTATTTTCACAAACAGTCCTGTTAAACATGAATGACTTTCAGATAGATGTACTCCAGTTTTCATAGAAATCACTTAAGAAAACAGAGACTGAGTGGTACATCAGCTTGTGTTGCAAAACAAAGCAGTTACCCATCCATCCTTTCTGTTTGCATGCATCAACTTTTTAAAAACAGGAATAAAACTCAGTGACAAGGAACTGAGCCAATGAGACTGGTGTTCTAAGTCACCTGAACAGTGGTACAAGCCCTAGTTCAGTGAGGGAGACTGGAAGACTCAGCAAAGGATTCAGGTATTCAAGGCTGATGAATAAATCTTACCTTTTTATACAAAAAATCCAAGACAGTTTTAAGTTGTTCCAGGTTGTGCAATACGCAGTTCTTCTGTAAATGAAATGAGAAATGCCATCAAAACTAGAAAAAACAAAGTTACCAATTTGCCAAGAATCACAAACCCTGTGTGCTGAGCTGTGTACTGAAGGGTTACTAACAACCACTATATTCTTGATTCAGCCTTAGCCAGCACCAAGAAAAACAATCCCATGGAACATCTTGTAATTTAACTGCCTGTATATTTTTTTTTAATATGTTGTCTAAGACAAGAACGGGGAAGAAAAGTATCTTTAGACTTGAAGGTGGAAAAGATATTTTGCTACAGCATCTCAGACTTGGGATCACAAATTAAGTACAGATGTTTATAAATACAAAACACATCATGTGCCAGGAGCTTACATCACTGAATAGAGTCATTTCAATATCCGGGAACTAGTTACTCCTTTAGTTCACTATGGCAGAGAGCAGAGTCTGGGAAAGTTTCATAACCACCTGCCTTGACCGCTAATCCACCCCATGAAAAGCTTACCAGGTGTGTGGAGGCACAGGAAGAACATGGGGTTCCAGCACTAAAAAAAATCGTGATAAAAAAAAAAAAAAAAAAAAAAAAGAAGGAATAGGATGATAAGAGACCTATTTGCTATTTTCCTTTCTCACACAAGATTTGCTATGGCTTTAAATCAGCAAAACCCAGCAGGAGTCCATGGCCCAATCCTGGCCACCCTGATCATTTCCATTTGACAAGCCATCCAGCTTTTCTCTAGAATAGACAGTAAATGGATGGTTAGGCAGCAAATGCTGCAATTAAAGCTGAAGGCACACCTATAAAAAGCTCAGAATAGAGCCAGAAATTGCTGCTGCCATTGGAGAAGACAAGCACACACAAGTTAGCACAGAGCTTGATGCTGCTTCTTTACATCACTGTTGCAAGCTTGCTAACAGGGTTAATGTTCCTGAACAGCTGAGATTTTATCCCACTAGTGTGACACAGACTGGAACAAATATCTGAGAGCTAGAGCCCTGCTCAACTGTGCTATGTTTATTAGGCAGTTCTCACCAATCCTGAAGAGCATTGGTTAGAACCACTCAGTTCCACAAAAATGTATGCTAAGTCCATGTACAGTCGAACAGACTCCCTGTAGATTGAAGAGTCAGTAGCAGAATCACCTTGGCAATTACATTTTCCCATTACATCAAGACCATTTTACAAAACAACATGCCTCAGCATTAAGAAAAATGAACGTATAAAACTCCAGGATGGGATTTACAAAGGACTTGACCATGAGTGACAATTCAAGCTCTCACCAGCATCAACCACTGACATCAGCCAAAACATATCTAGGTCTTTACTGTCCTTTTTGAAAATATGAACCTAAAGGACCAAGAGGAAACCGAAGAGGCAAATACTGAGAGTTATTATTTGTGTTCTTCTCAGAAACACTGGCACAGTTATGGAGTGCAGCTAGCAGAGGTCTCGCATCCTTAACCAATAGAAAACAAACATACTGGCTTCTCTACCAAGCTCTTCAGCCCCTCTGACAAACCAGATGGGATACTTTCAAGAACAAAACTCTGTACTCAAAAGGTACAGAATTGATTCATATTTATAACAGAAAGACCAAAGTCTGTTAACCTAAAGAAATGGCATTTTTTACTTTGAAGAAAGTTTTGAGTGCTGTTTAAAGTATTTAATCACATTTCTCCCTTCTTCTGCTTCAACACCAAGCTCTCTGAATTGTCCTGTGTTTTAAGCAAACCTGATTCTCTTTCATGAGCTTCACTATTTCTTCAGCTTGATGCAGGAGGTCTCTGAAAAGCAGAAAAGAAAAGAGAAACTATAAAGGCATCAGTGAGGGTAAAGCTTTGGCTGATTTTTACCATTAACACAAACAACATTTGAGACTTCAGGTGGGATTAATCTTCTCTCCTAAATGTGTTAAGATTAGACACTTGTCTGTGCTACACAGAGAGCCTCGGGTGATTAGCTCATATTCAAGCATCTCACTTTCAGACATGTGCACTTAGATGAAAACAGCAGACACTGCTTGGTAGGCACACCTCTAATTCTATTTGAGCCAGAAAATTTGTTTTGCAGCTATGAAGAGGGAGACCTGATGTTAAGTCAGGTGATCCAGACACCAAAGCACACAGTGGGCTTTGTTTCTGCTCCTGCTAAGAGGTGACAATTGAGCCAGAGTGACAGGGTCTGTCCCTGGAGGGTCTGTGCAGCCTCTGCCAGTACTGAACATATTCTGTGACCAGTGAAGTGCTCCAGCACCAAAGGCTTCCACCCTCTACCTTACCAGCTGGAAATCAACTGTCCAGCCAAAAACCCCTCAGACTTACATGGCTTGACTGTCTGGTGTTGCTCCCTTTGTGCCAGGCGGAGGAGACTGGTGTAGGACCGAGGGATTAAAACGGCTAATGAGAGCTGAATGACATACACGGTTAGAAGATTTCTGCATACAAGGGACTGCTACTCTACCGTTTCATTATAAACACAACAGAACTAAAACAACCAGAAAATGTAAAATCTGAGGATCTCTTGGAAGGCATGAGATGTATGTCCAAGCCCTCTGCAGCTGTTCTTGCTGGTTTTGGTACTCACTTTCTTAAGTGGAGGTTTGATGTCTGTGTTTTCCTCCAGACTCAGGTCAGAAACCTCCATCCTCATCTCTCATGGCAGGCACAAGTAGCATAGGTGGATTTAAAAACAGGCAGCTATCAAAATGAAGCTACAGGGAAGGGCTACCCAGAGACAGCCTGCTGAAGCTGCCAGGTTTTAAACCCCTTTCACGGGGAAATGGAGGTGACATTAAGATACTAGGCAGATTTGGAGGGGAGGACCCTGGAGCTATCCACTACTCAACTCAGCATTTCAGCGGACCGGAAGGTTTTACTTGCAACACCTTTCAAGCAAGTCAAGGTTGCCTTCAGAGCCGGCTGGAACCAGCTGACAGGTGATGAATTAACATATGCGGTGCATCTATGGCAGCTCCAGTGTAAATCCTGAACACGTGGTAGTGGAAAGGGTACCGGACAGGCAAATTCACACAAGATTTCACTGCGCTAGCATAGGCAGCAAGCACACACCAGCAGGGACTGTGGCATGGGTAGTGGTAGCATCCCAAAAATCCTTGTTGGGTGTGTAAGACTCTTGCAGCAGTCTGCCAGCACCCCTTATTCACTGCTATTTGTCTATTTGGACAGTCTCTTTAAAGCCAGCACAGATAACCCAGCCTGGCTGTACTCATGTTCCCCAAGTACAGGGGCTTCGCTTACACCCTTGCAGTGTACTTGTGCTGCACCTGTTCTGCAGCCCAGCAAGGCCCTGGAGCTCCTGCCAGCATGCTGTTCAATTTGCTTGAGTTTCAGTGTGACAGCAAGACACACCTGCTAAAGTTTCCACGCTTACTTCAAGAAGGCTCTTTCCTGTGCTATAGAAAGGGAAGAGAAAACAGGAAGTTGCTGTTACTACGTTTCTCAAAGAAAAATTCTATTACAGCACAGCCTCAATTTCTTATTAGATATGCTACAGCTCAAAATGTGTATTCATGGCAGCTGCTGAAATTAAGGATGAGAACTTTCTTTCCCCAAAATCATCATGTCATCAGCTACTGCTGCATAAGAACAATCTTAAATATATTTTTTTTTTCTGACTCTGTATGTTGCAATAATTGTGCTTATGCATACATATAAGTAATGCAGGGACCTCTGTGTGCATCCACATACAAGTGGACACAGATGATTGTGCAAACATTAAAAAAAATTCGTCTTTTAAAGTTTGTCTGTGCAGAGCTAAAAGACCTATGCAGATGTGCATCTACAAGGTTTAGCCATACATTCACTTGATGATGTAGATCTGCTAAGGGGGCATGAAAGAAGAAAATGGAGTAAGGCTTGTCTGTGAAGCACTGGGAATCATCCAACCAGAGGATTCTTGGGATCAGGACTCCTGGGTTCTTTATTTGCTTTGATAAATTCCTGCTTTCTGGTCTCTAACTAGTATATGTTGATATTTACTTCCTAGGATTCATCATGTAGCAATGATTCTTAATCGAGGTTATTGCAACTCTAAGATAGTTCTACATTTTGCATAAGTACAAAGAATTTCTGTTAACTAAGGACTGGAAAGGATCCAGTATCTCAAAATCCTTCATATTTTGCATAGCCTTTGTCCTCCTCTCTACAAAACAATAATAAGACTTAATTGGGCCCAATTCCTGCACTGTGATACCATATAAATTAGTATTATGACACTTAGCAATGCTAACAATTCCTTGTTACCTTTGGAGTAAATCCTCATGGTGTACACCAGATCCTGGTGTCTGTGAACAAGCAAGAAGATTAGCATTAAGCAAAGGGTAAACTATCTCTACATATGCTGTTCCCCTACAGTATTCCACTCCTATTATAGATAGCATTGTTTTCGACATACTCTTCACCACTGCACTGTAGTTATACATAGATCTAAGTTCTTTTCCAGGGCTTCCTTATTACAGTATATTTTCATAGTCTGGTAATCCTTTCTTAGTTAGTGATTTCATTAATGAATTTATTACATATGGCTTAAAATAAAATTTGACTAGAACTCAAATTCAGTCAAATGAAAAGTTGTTCTAAACCACATTGCTCTGGATCTACTCATTTTCAACAAGAGACATGACCTGAAGTCATGTAGATAATTCACATGGATGGCACTCAGCCAGTAAGGTGTCTGTTAAAAAAACCTTTAGCATTAAACAGAGGAACTTCATTGATTTCAGAGAGTCTGAGGAGGAGACAGTAACAGAGATGTTTGCTCTAGGAAAGTAGACGTTCCTTGAAAGAAGATTGTTTATATGTTTTTCTATGGCACCATCCACAAGCAACAAAGACATTAGCACAAAAAAGACTTGCACTAAAGGGCCATGCATCTGATACCGATGAAACGCCTTTGGATTCCAGACAATTATTTTCTTCTAAAGAGGGAGGTACTCACAAGGAGTCCAGGAGTGCTGATTTTCTAGTAGAAAGCTTTCATCCCAATAAAAAGTTTGATGCCTTGATGAATACTACCTCAAATTTGAAAGTGGTTTTGTGATAACTGAGAATCTCCCCCATTTCTTTACAGTTGTAGCCCTGCAATGGCTACCAATTTTTGCCCAATGTGCATTGCTACACTTCTTCAAAGCCTGAGAATTGTGGTTAAATGCTTTAAATAGGGCCTCAATTCTATTTCAGATATTCACTTCCAACTATTAAGATAAGCAAAGATAATCCAAATTTGACCGTATTAGAACAGGCAGGAGAACTTTATCCAGTGATTTATACATCAGAAGTATATCTTTGTGATTGGCCTACAGCCTTTGCCTTCTAGACAGGAAATCAGTCTCTACAGAAACTGCTTCAACAGGATGGAAAATCTACTGCATTTCTCAATAATTTGTGGTGATCACCAAAATTGTACTTTTTCCCAGTTTTAATTTTCCCAGCTTCTTCTTCCAGTTATTTGACCTGTTATGCTCATTGCTAGGAAAATCCGAGCACTCTAATCAAATATCATGGTTCTCTGCAAGAGCACTGTGATCACATTTCCTCCTGCACGAAGTCAGCTGGCTATTTTTAGACTCAGGGCATACTAGAACACTGAACAGCAGGTATTTCCAGTCATTTTTCACCAGAAGCCTTTGATGCTTGCGGAAAGAATCAAGTCCTAAACGCCCTAACTGGGACCCCAAACTACATCATCAGCTCACTTCATCATCACAATGGAGGAAATGGGTCACATTGAGCACACTTCCCGCTTGTACTTACTCTTTGCAAACTTCCTATTGCAGTGACTGTTTTAATGTCAGCTAGCCTCAAAGCGTGAACTGTAGAAAAGCGAAAGATGTCAGGTTAAAAAAAGAGCAGTGACCTTGAAAGAAAATTACATTTACCAATATGCTAAAACATAACAAAATTGATTGAAACATAAGAAGTCTATACTGATCTTCTTGATCGGCAGTTTTAAATCAGAGAGGGTGAGAAACTTTACTCAGGTAGAGTACTCAGTTTACTCAGTAGATGCTTTGAGTACTTCGATGCACTGAAATGATCAACCATCAAGCAAAAAGAGATCACAAAACACTGCTGTGAATGATTTAAGTAATAGCAGCATCCTCAACTATTATAGCAACTGAGGAAACAAAGGTAGAAAAGTTATTATGAATAGAACAAAAAATTAGGACATTTGTGGAGCCTACGTCCACTTCAGTCACATCCCACACATATGCATCCCCTCAAACAGCTGATTTCTCTGATTTCACCCCCAGCCCATTCTCAAATAATTTTGGGAGGGAAAGCCTCTGCAAGGATAATATCAAACACAAACCTGAAGTTGAAGGGGTCTCAGGTAACATCACCTGCTCACATGGAAACTGGAAGCTTCTTAGAGCCTTTGACATAAACAAATAAATATGATTTATTGCTTAGCTCTAACAAGGAAATTTGTGGAAGGAGGGGTCCTATGGGCTCTGTTCTCACACAGTACCAAGCTCTTACTCATGTAAGAGCAGTTTTAAAGAACAATTACACCTGTAGTAAAAATACATGGGAACACAGGTCTGGACAGCTGCACTATCAAATCCACTCTTCCAAAACTTTACAATTTTTTCTGTCTTCTTACTGATTGCCATAGAACTGGGCCTAAGCAAACAATGAAATGTGCTGAACGCAACCTGTTACATCTATTGCTGCAAACAGTGAGTGCTTAATCTGGAATAGGTCATAAGGACAGCTACTGCATATGCATCTTCACATGCCAAGGGGCACCCAATGGACACAACAAAAAGCTACATCTCCATTGTGCAACAGGAAAGGCAGAATGAACCAATTCTGGGTCCTTGGCAACTGGCAAAATTCCCAGGTTATCACAGAAAGCACCTGTCTCT